TCCGGCGGCCCCGCGGTGGCATGATCGTACGCATCCAGTGCTTGGGGCCGTGTGGGAGTGAGTTTGGGGCGGCAGCTGTCTGGGGGCCATGCATGGCATGTGTCACGGCAAATACTGTCCTGACCATAGAAAACCAGAAGATGGGCACCTCCCAGGTGTCGAGTGGGTGGGATCGTGCGGGGAGGAGCGGAGTGCTAGGGAGTGCACGGCCGTCCACCAGAGGCGTATGGCGCCGGTGGCTGGAGGCGTTTCATGTCGGCCCGACATGTCCTCCTTGCATTTCGACGTTCTGGTTTCCTAACTCTTCTTCGAACCCGGCGTTTCAGGCATTTCAGTGGCTGAGGGCTCGAGGGTTGCTGGAGTCGTGACGCCGTTGTATGGAGGTGAGCAGGAACAGGATGTGTGTGGGGATCCACGAATAAAGGCACATCGAGAGTCGTGCGCTTGCCGATAGACGTCAACAGACTACATACTCGGAATATAAGGAAGATAGGATGGTCCTACCTACGACGCTTGATGCCGACTGACTCTAGCACACCATAAGTCCTCCCCCCCTTTGTGGCACCCCCCCTTGCTTTCGTCGCTGCCTTGCGCATCCCGTCGGCGGGTATCCCCGACAGGCAAGCTTGCCGAAGCCACTCATTAATGGAAGCAAGGAGGCTTTCTTGGCGCCGCTAGACAATGGCACGCTACCTGCTTCTTAGCAATGTGGATGTTGGTTTGCGTTTGTTGCGGTTGGTTGTGTCTTCCGCTCGGCAAATATCGGCTTTGGCTTGGAACATGATGCAAAACGTGTTGATAGGATATGTTCCGAGGGCGCCAATGATACCTAGCTGTCATATACTACTATCGCATGTTAAGGCACGAACCAACTCCTCGGCTGCCAACTAGAAGCCAACGACCCACGGGCGGGTCTGCGGCGGCCCGGTCGCCTCTTCGCCGCCTGTGGACGCTCGAGATTATACTGAGGTTCGATAAGCTGCGACAAAATTTGTAATTTCACGTGCCAATTTTTAATCGATCCGCACTGACAATACATGGCTCTGTTAGCACGACATGCACCCTCCATTTAAGATACTGTAGCTGCAATGCTTCGGATTTCGATCGGCATGAACAGACCGGCACTTAGTTTCGCAATTTCATCATAGAGGCATAATGGGCACCCTTCTGTACGGAAACACGCTAACCACATTGCCCTTCGTTCCCATGCACGCGCATCTTTGGATGCATCGAGTCTTCGCCCGTGCTGCTGGTCGTTGCTGGCGCTGACATTCACCGTTTGCTGAGCAGGCCAATCTCCGCACTCGATAGCATGCATAACTCATGCAGGTAACGTTGCCTCTCTAGGACATGTGCGCCATCTGCTGTCATCACGCAATGCGGGCATACCGTATCCAAGGCCGAAGGCCCCGTCCCAACGCCCACATCCTAGGTTATCACACAGCTTGGGATGGCCGAGCTTGCTCATGCGATACCTCAACCATATAAATAGCGCCCCCGCTGCAGTCTGGAGGCCTGGCAAAACACCTCCAAGCAAGGCCCATTGCCTAAATAGCCCTCTACTCTGTACCCTTCCCCTGCCTGATTACCTTGCTTGGTAGCCGTGACAGCGCGTATCCCCTGCTTGGGGTCTGCAACGTCCCATTGCCGCTGCTTGGGCTGCTGCTGCTGCTGCTGCTATCAAGACACCCATGGCCACGTCGCGTCGCGGCCGCGGCGGTGCCACCGCCCTGCTGGCTGGCTTGGTGGGCCTGATGCTGTTGCTGACACGTAAGTGTGCGTGTGCCTGCTGTTACTTGGGATCCAGGAGGTGGGTGTGCGTGCGTGATTGCACACGTCCGCCGCCGCCGGTCGGCGCTTGCTTTGTCTGCTGAGGTCCCCGTGAGATGACCTCGTGTCGGAATGAGCGTTGCGTTGCGGTTGGAGGGCGTGTGATGCCATGTATGCAAGTCTCGGCTCCAATGCAAAGGCGTCACGGCACAACGGTGTCAAGACTCGGCTTTGCAGTCCAGCCACTGCTGCTGTAATCCCAGGCCGGTGCCTCATGCTTAGTACGTTGCTACGAATTGTCTTGATCACACTGGTTGCCTGGTATCTTGGCTCACGCCATTTACGTCTTCTTCCGCCACCTCCGCACATACTGCCATGCCGCTGCATCTGCCGCTGCACTGCCGCTGTCCATACCGCTGCCTCACCCCTGCTCCCTCCCTCCCTCCCTGCCGCGTGCCACCCCTCCCGCCTCGCGGCCGACAGCGCTGGCGGACGCAAGTCGGGCGCTCAAGCAGAGCCCGTCCCGCCGTGAGTATTCTTACGCTTTATCCGCACTGCTTGAATGACGGCCGGTGCCCTGCATGCTCCTCTGCTGTTGGTCTACCGGTATTATGGCACTGGGGCTCTGGTTGTTTGCTACTCCATGGAAAGCCGCCGTACGGAATGCCGTAAATCTCGACCAAACAACCGCCCATCATTGCGCCGGCCACCCTTCTCCGTCGCCGCCGGAGTGACCGGTCCACGCCTAAGCAGGCAGCTTAACACTAACACGCATGTGACCCGCGGGTCAGCATTGATGTGTTTGCGCGCCCACCTGACTTCGCGCCTCCTACAGGCTCTCTTCTGCAGCAGGCTCCCCCAGCCTGGCAGGAGCAGGCGCAGCAGAAAGCGGCGGCCTTCGGAGAGTAAGTAGGGGGGGGGGCTGGTTTAAGAGATTGGTCTAAGAGATTAGGAGGCTGGGGAGTCATTGCATTCCAGTAGGTTGCTCGGACTAACGTGTGGAAGGAGGGTGGTAGCTTACAGGGTGTAATTAAGGGCGCACGGGATTGATGTGTGACGTTGTCGGGCATGCGGCCCTTGGGGATGCTCCGCACGCCACATGTGGTTCTTTACCCTAAACATCGAGGAGCGTATCGTAAAGTACCTGACACCATGTCTCCATGTGATGACGTGATACCCGGATGGGAACCAGCCGGGGGTACCCCGGTGTGACCGCCACTATGCCTGCAACTAGCGGAGGTCCATCCTCGGTTCCCACCGCACCCCAACCCACCCACCCCAACCCACCCACCCCACCGCACGCCACCCCACCGCACAGGCACCTGGCCAACAGCCCCGCCGGCCCCAAGCTCGCCCCCATCGCCGCGGCCGCAGCACCCGCCATCGCACAGTGAGTGCCGGTGGTCGCATGCAGCAGTGGCTGGATGGGGCTTGATGCCCTTGCTGCCGGCCGGGGCTGCTGGGTTGTGCAGCAGGGCCCGCCTCTTGCATGGCGCGGCATCTGCTGAATTGGTCGCTGCTTGCTTGACACAGTCCTGATCTGACACTGCACGCAGCAGCCCATCCACATGGAAAGGGAGCCGCATTTGTACGCGATGCAACTCGATATGCATGCCAAGCAACGCCCTATCAAATGGCCTTAGCAGGGTGCTCACGCAATCAGTGCGCATTGTACTGCACATTGCAAACGTTTACCTTTACCGTCCTTCTCCTCTCCTCCCACCCTGCCCTTTCTTCTGCCCCACTCCCAACCCCATCCGCAGGCAGCTGCTGAACAGCCCCAAGGGCCCGCAGCTCATCCCCATCCTGCTCCCCGCCGTCGCCCCGCTGCTGGCCAAGGCCGCAGAGTCACCCTCGCCCCCGCCCCCGCCCCCGCCCCCGCCGCCCCCGCCGCCCTCCCCTCCGGTAGGTTCATCCCCAACAAGTGAGCAGCGAATCCACAACCTAATCCTGAAGGGTACAGGGCCAGAACTGGGAACAAGCGGAACCGCCGGGGAGGGCGTTTTAGAGGGGCTGGGAGCCGCCCCACGTACGGCTAGTTACGGTAGTCGCTCTGTGCTCCTCACGCATGCACATGCAAGCGCTTGCTGTGGGCTGGTAGGCAGGGCAGGCGTAGCACCATTTGACCGCGCCCTCACACGCACGCATGATTCTGCTCCATCGCCCTGCTGACTTTCCCCTTTCTCCTTCGCTTTATCACCGCTCGCTCTTCTTTGCCCGCTTGCCCCATCAGGCCCCCCAGCCGCAGGGCATCCTGGAGCGTAAGATTGAGCGCATTCAGTGAGTAGGGGAGGTGGGGGAGGAGGGGACGAGTGGTGGGTGAGTGGGTGGGTGGGAGTTTACTGCGAAGAAGTGCGAGAACAGGCAAGTGGGGCGGAGGCAACGGGAAGGGGTAGGGTGCCCTTACGGAGGGAGCGGGAGGCGTGATGGAGGGTGTTCAGAACAACAGTAGGTGGATGTGGTGGGCTGGGCAGCGCTATTGCGCTGCATGTGAAGCGCCGATTATTGATTTCCTGAAGGCGAGTGTGGCGGGGGACATGGCTACCGTATTGCACAACTCGCATCTCTAGCCGCGCAAGGGTAGCTGGTCATGCTTTGCCCTGATCCTGACTGATATCGCAATCGTCGAAGCACTAATTGTCATGCTTTAGTTACCCCGCCCGTGCTCAGCCAGTCTGAGTTTCTCCTGGTCCGTCGCTGCAGGCAGTTCAAGGGCTGAGGGTTCCGGAGCTGGGCTGCACGCCGCTGCGTAAGCGGTAAGCGAGGAGAGGGTACTGGAACCAAAAGCTCAACGCAGCTTAACGTGTTGGTGCTGACCGATTAATTTATGTTCCCGCCATGCGTGTTCTTGATGTGCTGGCCTGGAGTGCGAGTAATGGTGCAGAAGGCGAAACGACACGACGCATCTTCCCCGCTTATACTGAACTGTGTTTCTCAACACATAATTGTTAACTCTTCCCTACAATGACAGGCTGTAAAACCAAAATCGACGCGACTGGCAGGAGTGTTCAAGTGTGCGCCGTCCGTCTCCGTCTTTAGTTGTTTACCGAACAGTGCATATACTATTGTACGTTTTGCAAATGGGTATTGGCTCAGCACGCTAACACTGTAAATAACAGTTCCGTGCGAAAGATTTGGAGGCACGGCAGGATATCTTGGTTCGGTAGGATCTGTCGTGCGCAAGACAATATTGACGCGTTTTTGAGTTAGGTTAACTAACGCGATAGTCATACTTACAACATACTACAGTAATATCCTGTAAGGTTTTGTCAGGCTTCAAACGTGTGTTGCCGTTCGGAGTAGTGATCGGGACGCTGCATACCGTTCGCCCATACAGCCAGGAGGACACTTGAGCAGATAGAGCAAAGTTGAAAGGCAGCATGGCGCTCCTATCACGCAAACCGACGGGACACACCCACGTCACGTCACGGTAAGGCATCGACTGCCATGTATGTACGTTAGCCATTCGCCCTGGCTAAAAGGTTGACACAGCGATTGTAACATGAGTGTTAAAAAGCTGCTGGCTCAAGGGTTCTCGCAAAGTTCGCGCCAACTCCCATCTTTTCGTTGCCGAACAACTCGCCAATTCTGTAATATATCCATCCCTCATCCCTTCTCTGAATCCCTAGCAACACGTCGGCTGTTGAGTCTGCTCGCATAGGGCGCCCCGCCTGCTCGCCGCGTTCTCTCGCACCCGCTGTTGCTACTGCTGCTGCTGCGACGCCAGCAGTAACGGCCTGCAAGCGGCAGCAACAGGAGCAGTTCGGGGGATGCATGCGTCGTGCGGCTCCTGCTGCTGCTGCTCGACCTCGCACGGTGTCTTGCGGGGCCCTCATTTCGTACTTGGAGGTCACGGCAGGTGCGGGAAAGGCGGAAGCAGCGGCTACAGCCTCTGTAGGATCCTTGTAGCAACAGCGGCCATGTGTTCCTGTGCTGGAGTGCGGCAGTGGGAGGCGGGATATGGATGGTTCGGAACACGTGAGCAGCCCCAAGGCATGCATGCATGCATGCATGCCCAGGGTAGCGGAACCCTTCCCCAGCAGCATCCAGCGTTTTCCTGTGTGGGTGCGCCGTAACCTCTCGGTAGTATCCCTTGCCTCCTCCTCCCCCCCACCCCATCCACTGACACACCCTGCAGCACGTCGCCGGATCCCTCCCGTCAGTTCCCGCCGCGCCCTTCCTCCCCAACCCGTGGCACCCTAACCCTACCAACCCGTTTCGAACCCCCTTCTCCAACCCCTCCCCACCCCAGGTAGTGACGCCCCCGAGGACCTGGCCATCGAGGTGCACCCCAACGAGGCCGCTGTGGGGGCCCGCGTGTGCGAGGTGGGGTGGGAGGTGGGGGTGGGAGGTGGGGGTGGGAGGTGGGGGCGGGGGGGTGGGAGGTGGGGGCGGGGGGATGGGGGTAAAAGATGAGGGTTCCAATGTGTTGAATGAGAATGCAAACCAGGCGAACCGACCCTCATGTTCCCCCACCCCCTCAATCCACCTCCCCGCCTCCCACCCACCTCCCCCGCTCCCCAGTTGATCGTGCAAGCCGCCCATGCGGCGGTCGCCGAGCGCGGCGCCTTCTTCCTGGCCATCCCCGGGGGCAGCGTGCTCAAGATGTGCGGGGGGCTGGTGGGGCGACACATGCCCTGGGACAAGGTGGGGGGGGGGGCGGCACATGCCCTGGGACAAGGTGGGGGGAGGGGGCGGCACATGCCCTGGGACAAGGTGGGGGGGGGGGCGGCACATGCCCTGGGACAAGGTGGGGGGGGGCGGCACATGCCCTGGGACAAGGTGGGGGGGGGGGGGGCGGCACATGCCCTGGGACAAGGTGGGGGGGGGGGGGGCGGCACATGCCCTGGGACAAGGTGGGGGGGGGGCGGCACATGCCCTGGGACAAGGTGGGGGGAGGGGGCGGCACATGCCCTGGGACAAGGTGGGGGGAGGGGCGGCACATGCCCTGGGACAAGGTGGGGGGAGGGGGCGGCACATGCCCTGGGACAAGGTGGGGGGAGGGGGCGGCACATGCCCTGGGACAAGGTGGGGGGAGGGGGCGGCACATGCCCTGGGACAAGGTGGGGGGAGGGGGCGGCACATGCCCTGGGACAAGGTGGGGGGAGGGGGCGGCACATGCCCTGGGACAAAGTGGGGGGCTGGTGGGGCGGCACATGCCCTGGGACAAGGTGGGGGGGGCGACACATGCCCTGGGACAAGGTGGGGGGGGGGGGCGGCACATGCCCTGGGACAAGGTGGGGGGGGGGGGGCACATGCCCTGGGACAAGGTGGGGGGGGGGCGGCACATGCCCTGGGACAAGGTGGGGGGGGGCGGCACATGCCCTGGGACAAGGTGGGGGGAGGGGGCGGCACATGCCCTGGGACAAGGTGGGGGGCTGGTGGGGCGGCACATGCCCTGGGACAAGGTGGGGGGGGGCGACACATGCCCTGGGACAAGGTGGGGGGGGGGGGGGCGGCACATGCCCTGGGACAAGGTGGGGGGGGGGGGCGGCACATGCCCTGGGACAAGGTGGGGGGGGGCGGCACATGCCCTGGGACAAGGTGGGGGGGGGGGGGGCGGCACATGCCCTGGGACAAGGTGGGGGGGGCGGCACATGCCCTGGGACAAGGTGGGGGGGGGGCGGCACATGCCCTGGGACAAGGTGGGGGGGGGCGGCACATGCCCTGGGACAAGGTGGGGGGGGGCGGCACATGCCCTGGGACAAGGTGGGGGGGGCGGCACATGCCCTGGGACAAGGTGGGGGGGGGCGACACATGCCCTGGGACAAGGTGGGGGGGGGCGGCACATGCCCTGGGACAAGGTGGGGGGGGCGGCACATGCCCTGGGACAAGGTGGGGGGGGGGGGGCGGCACATGCCCTGGGACAAGGTGGGGGGGGGGGCGGCACATGCCCTGGGACAAGGTGGGGGGAGGGGGCGGCACATGCCCTGGGACAAGGTGGGGGGAGGGGGCGGCACATGCCCTGGGACAAGGTGGGGGGAGGGGCGGCACATGCCCTGGGACAAGGTGGGGGGAGGGGGCGGCACATGCCCTGGGACAAGGTGGGGGGAGGGGGCGGCACATGCCCTGGGACAAGGTGGGGGGAATAAACATTTATGTGAAACAACGAGTCCCAATCCCATATCCCGGGTGGGGCTAAGGGGTACTGTGAGGGCTGTGGTTGTTGTAGACGTAGGCATGGAAGATGGTGGGGGGAAGGGGGCTAAGGGAGGCAGTGGGGCGAAGGGAAGGAGCGGGGTGAAGGAAAGCAGTGGAGCATCCAAGGTGCGGCCCTCCTCACTACCCCCACCCCCACCCTGCCCCCTCCCCTCCAGACCTTCCTCTTCTACGTCAACCACAAGTGTGTTCCCGCGGACGACTCCGGCTCCACGCACCGCAAGGCCACGGAGCTCTTCCTCACGCGGGTGGGGGCGCCGGCGGGCAACGTGGCGGCGCTCAAGGTGGGGGGGAGGGAGCGGGTGTGCCGGGGACATGGGTGGGGGGTGTACTCGGAAGGGGCTGTTGGTGGCAGGGTTCGCGGGGTAGGGTTTGCGGGGCTGCAAGGGGGGGGGGGCTGCAAGGGGGGGGGGGGCTGCAAGGGGGGGGTGACTGGGACGGGGAGGGAGGTTCGAGGGAAGGCTGGGAGTGGGTAGGCGAGTGGTAAAGGGAAAGGCAGGAGGTGGGAGTGTGGGAGGGTAGGGGTGCACCGAGGGGGTTGGACGGCGGGGGCGGGAAGAGGCGGGAGAGGAGGAGGGAGACACTGTCGCATGCGTGGAGACATGTCGCGCCCACACGTCGAATTACCTTCCGCTCCTTCCTTGCATGCACTGGTGGCTTATGGCACATGTAGTGGTATCACTTACACCCCAGCCCTGCCCCCCCCCAACCCCGGACACCTGCAGGGCACATCGGACGCGGTGGCGGAGGCGCGCGAGTACGAGGCCAGGTTGCGGCAGGTGGGGAGCTTGGGAAGGGAAGGGAGGGAGGGGGAGATGGGGGAGCAGTAAGATTAGGTTTGGGGCTGAGGCACATGTTAGGTGGGGCTAGGGCTGTGTGTTTGGCGGTGGGGGTGGGAGCTGGTGGCTTCTGTTCGGCGGATAGGGCATATACCGGTACCCCGAGCATGGGATGCTCCCTCTTCCTCCCCACGGACCAGGCTGCTTGCCGCGCACACCCTGCAGCCTGTCCCTCACCGTCTCCTCCCTCCCTCTCCCTCTCCCCTGACACCACCATGCACACCTCCCCCCCCTCCCCCCCCTCTCTCCCTCCCTCTCCCCCGCCCCCCCCCTGCCAGCTCGCCGTACAGCGCAACATGTCGCTCACCGCGGACGTGGTCCCCCGCTTCGACCTGCTGCTGCTGGGCATGGGCGCGGACGGGCACGTGGGCTCGCTCTACCCGGGGCGCCCCGAGGCGGGTGTGGGCGGCCCGGGCGCCCCGCTGGTGCTGCCGGTGGACAAGAAGCAGCCGCCCAGCATCACACTGGCGTTGCCCGTCATGTGCGCGGCGCGGCAGGTAGGGGGAGGTGGGGGGAGAGGGGGGGAAATAAATGAGAAGTGCAACAACTGGAGTCTTAATCCCATATCCCGACTCAAGGGAAGGGGGGGGGCGTTGGGTGAGGAAGGGGGCGGGGTAAGGGGAAGGGGGCCGGGGTGAGGAATAGGGCGGGGTAAGGGGGCCGGGGTGAGGAAGGGGGTTTGGTCGTCTCGCATCCCGCCACACGCCTCCTAGCTAAGCGGCCAATCTCCTCGCCGCCATCCTCTTGCCCGCTCTCCCCACTCCCCTTCCTCCCTCCTCCACCGCCCCTCCGGCTAGATCGTGGTCGCCGCCACGGGTGCCGGCAAGGCGGCAGCAGTGCGCGGCGCCCTGCAGGAGCCCTCCTCCTCCTCCTCCTCCTCCTCCTCCTCCTCCTCCTCCTCCTCCCACCCCGCCGTCGACCTGCCTGCTCGGGGTGTTCGGCCGGTGGAGGGCGGGTCGGCGGTGTGGCTGCTGGACTCGGCGGCGGCGGGGGGGCTGGAGGTGGCGGCGGGGGCGCGGGCGCTGCTGGCGGCGGATGCGGCGGTGCGGGGTCTCAGCACGGCGTGAGGAGGAGGAGGAGGGAAGGAGGAGGAGGGGGGTAGGAGGAGGGAAGGAGCAGGAGAAGAGAGGTTTCCACCGTTAACCGGGAAAAAGGGTTGGTGTGTAGGCTAGTGAGTGAAGGTGGAAAGGATTTGGATGGCGTCTCTGATCCAGCTGGGGCGCCCGGTCTGGACATGGTAGGGTGCGGGATGGTCATGAGCGGGCGTGCGGGGAACACTGGCTGCACCCAGCTGGGCTGTGTGAGTGGGTGTGAGTGGACATACAACAGGGTACGACAGGCACGGCCGTACACTTGGGTTGGGCGTGCAGTCGATTTCATGTGGAGGAGGAGGGGCTTCTGAGGCAGGCACATGACCTCATGAGCCGTGCGGTCGGCCCGTGTGTATGGAGGGAGGGAGCGCCCATGCGGCTTTCGGCGTGGACGCAGCCTTCAACGCGTTTGCGAGATGCGGGTTGGAAGAAGTGCCCATGGTGCAAACAACTGGAGGAGTGGTGGTTAAATGTAACCAGACACACTTAGCTCTCAAGTCCTAACGCCCTGAAGCCAAGAAGATATGCTGATCCTCAGGGCAAGCCCAGGTGGTGAGAGTAGCTGTACCTGGTCTGTCGTACGCGACTACCGTACTTGTATGTTGAGTCAGTGGAGAGCAGTGCCCTGTGCCCTGTGAAGCATAGGAAAGCTACTTACCCGTATGTATGAGGACCTTGAGCAGTGCAAAGCGGATTGACCGGAAGCGAGGCATGGTCGGGAAGGTAGGCAGGGCGTGGAAGACGGACCGGGTAAGACACAAGGTTGCAAATGCATTACAGAGGCATGCAGGCTACCAAGCGGAAGGTACCGGGCTCTTAGGGCCCAAACACACCGCTCTGGGCAGAGCGGGATGTTGCAGTTGAGAAAGGTGGTGAGCTGTGCCAGATGCTTGAGGACCGTATTGTATACATGCAGCAATTCCGACTTCCAGCTTTTATTTCGTATCCTCTTCTAAAGTGCATCATTACTTTCCGACGCCAACGACCCAGCGGTCATGCCGTACGACTTGCCGCACCAGGAAGCTCTGCCAGCCTTTGTTCGCTTACTGGCCAAATTGTTGTCTAGACTGTTAGCAAATACCTGAAGTTAAATTGCACGTCGGCGTTGCACTCGCACTTAACGTCACAGTAATATTTACGGGCTTACGGCCGAACACAAGGCGGTGTAACTGACTTCACCTTGATTTGAAAACCCACAATCACTTGCTTTATTACCTACCGCTTACTGCTCCATTTGCCTGGGTTGGCGTGCGCAATCGCATCCACTTTAGCCGGTTGATGCATTAATCGACGCTGCAAACAGCATATATCTGTAATGGTCAGCACAAGGAGGGGTACACGTGGCCAAGCTGTAACAGCAGAGGTGCGCAGTCGCCGCCGGCGTTCTCATTAGGGCCGAATCTCGAGTTGCTTGCAGCAAAAAAACCACCAGTCCCTTGTTCTTGTGCTCTACGTATTACAATTATAGTCGCTAGAGCGTCGCGTCGGCTGCGAAAAATTGACATGTTATGTTGCAGGACAAGGCTATCACGCTCTGCTTACAATCATTGCCCTCCTACCCATGCTCAGGCTCCTGCGGCAAACATGGCGCCTTCCGACGCCGGCGCCAAGCCCGCGGACGCACCTGCTGCTAACGGTGTAACTGCAGCGGCCAATGGCAACCACACCGCCGAAGCGCAGCCCCTACCAGCCGCAGCCCAGCTAACCCAACCCGACGCGACGGCGCAAGTCGTGGGGGGCGATGCGGCGCCCGCGGCTAAGCGACAGAAGCAGGACGTCGGCGCTGCTGTTGTCGCTGCTGCTGCCGAGGGCGGTCCCGGTGCTGATGACGAGGGCGGTTTGGATGCGTTCCGGAAGATGCCGCAGCTGCGAGCAGCCCTGGAGGCTCTGCAGGTGGGGGATGGCAGCGGAGAAGTGGGGTTTGTGGGGTGGGCATCTCGCAATGGTAGTGGTGGGCGGTGGGCTAAGGTGCGGTCTTGGATGGCACCCGGCAGCCGCTCGGGTCATACCGCATACGTGGGGACAGGCAAGGAGTGTTTAGCGCGTAACAGAGTTTGAAGAAGAGAATCTCGGGCATGCGCGGGTGGTGGGGTACGGTGCGGTCATGGCCTCCTTGCGGAGCTGTGGGCCCAGCTGGGTGATGGGGTAGCGTGCGCGGTGGCGGCCAGGCCGCACGCCGCATTGCTGCTGTGCCGCTGGGGCGCTGGGGGAGGCGTATGCACGGGGGCGGGGGGGGGGAGGGGAGGTGCGCCGTCCCCGCCTGTCATGTCATGCGGCTCCGCCCCTCGGGTGGGACCCCTGCCACCCCTGGGCGAACATGCCGCGAACAGCACCGCCTTTGTGCGTTAACCACCCCCACCGCGACACCTTTTGTCGAGCCCTTTCCGTACTTCCGTGTCCCCTATCATCACAATTCCTTCTCATCTCATCTCTGCACCGCACCGTTCAAGTACCACCGACTCCCTAATCCCCCTGTTCCCCCCTCACCTGCCCCCCCCCCACCCCAGGCCCGAGTGGACGACTCCGCCGTGTTTCTGCGCCCCTCAGCCGAGGTGGCGGCAGCGGCCAGGGATGCGGCAAAGGTGGGGGCTAAAGAGGGGATGGACATTCTGCACAGGGCTGGGGATTGGGATCGCGCTGCAATGTCCATTGCCCGCCTGCCCTCCGGCTTCCCTACTTCCCTCTCCCTCCCTCTTCCACCCTTTTACTCCCTTCTCCTTAACACTGTTGCCCCTGTACCCCCCTTTCCCCCCCCCCAGCTCCTCTACAAGCACGCCACCTCGCAGCTGCTGTTCGGCGGGGGCGCGGCAGCTCGCTCGGAGCGGCGGGCGCTGCGGCGGGGCGGGGCCGCCCCCCTGCCGGAGCTGCACACGGACGCGGCGTTCGACCCGGAGCAGATCTGGTTGCAGGTGTGTGTGTGGGGGGGGGCCGGATGGGGGCAGGCGGGGTGGCAGATGTGGGGATGGAGGGGGTTGGTTAAGAGGGATGGGAGGGGGCAGGTGTTTAGAGTGTGTGAGGTGGGTGCTGGCACCGGGGTTGAGATGTATGGTATCTGTGAGGCGCCCGCCAAAAACGAACTCAAATCATCGCCATCGCCCCTACCTCACGCTCGCCTTACCATTCCACGTGCCCCACTGTCCTGTCCCTCCCTCCCTCCGCACTCCTCTACCACAGATGGAGCCGGCCACCGAGGCGGCTGTGCGGCGGGTGCGGCGGCTACTGCGGAGCGCGGAGCCGCTGTTGCAGGCGGCTGCGGAGGGGCGGGGGGCGGGGCTGGTGACGGCGGAGGCGGCGGAGGGGATTGAGCGGCTGCTGCGGGGAGAGGAGGAGGAGGAGGAGAGCGAGGAGGAGGGCGAGGAGGAAGAGGGAGGCAGCAGTGGGGATGAGGACATGGAGGAGGAGGAGGGCGCGAGCGATGATGAGGAAGACGACGAGGATGAGGATGAGGATGAGGAGGATGTAGACGAGGAGGACGAGGAGGAGGGTGGGCGGCGCGGCAAGAAGGCGCGAAGAGGTGAGAGGGTTGCGGGGTCGCCCAGCAGGTCACCCCCTCGTGTCACCCCCTCTTGTCACCCACCGTCCCACCCTGTAGCTCAGAGCACCTCACCCACCGCCCTCCTCACCCTCCCTATGGTTCGGTATGACCTTTGACCCCCCCGCCTGCAGAGCTCGGCAAGGCCAAGGCGGGCAAGGGCGCAGCAGCAGCAGGCGGCAAGGGCGCGGGTGTTGAGGACCGGTTCTTCCGCCTGAGCGACCTGGAGCGGTACGTGGAGGATGCGGAGCGGAGGGCCATGGCAGGGGACGAGGAGGAGGAGGAGGGCGAGGAGGAGGAGGAGGATGACATGATGGGAGGTGGGTGGAGGGGTGGGGGCGGGAGGGGGGAGGATGACCATTGTTGGTGGGGGTTTTGACGCTTGCGGAGCCGTTCCGCATTTATGAGAAGCTCGAGGATAGTGGGGAAGGGGCGGAGGGAAGGGGAGGTGGGTGAGCACTGGGGCGGGTTGCGAGTCCATGCTCCCTCGCTGGCCCCCACGAAGGCTGTGCAGCCCGTGCGCCCGCATACGGCTGTACACGGCTGCCCCATTTGCCCTGCTAAGAGTGGTGCTGCCGCCACGGCTGGTCCTGGTGTTAGGGAGCAGGTAGGGCGGCAGGTGCTGCCGCCCCTCCGGCTGGTTCTGCCGGCGCGCATGCCCACCCGTCCACCAATTCCTCACTACCGGCGCTTCAAATCTCCCGTGTCACACGTACCTCCTCCCCTCCTCCCTCACCTCAGGACTAGGTGACGACGATGACGATGATGATGAGGAGGAGATGGAGGCGCTGCTGGCTAACACAGCGGCAGCGGCAGGTGGGGAGCGGGGGGATGTGGGAGGGGGTGAGGGGGGGAGGGTTGTCTTTGCAGGTGGAGAGGTAGGTTGTTGGAGGAGGTTAAAGGTGAAAGGTAAGGAGTCGTACCCCTTGCCTACCCTCCGTGCTTCTGGCACCACTGTACGGCGACATGGTGTTGGCTACGTCACCCCCTGCCGGCTTGGGTCCCTGCTTCAAGGATTCCTCCATGCTTTGGGCATTGGCGTTTCTGCTGCTGCTGCTGCAGGCAAGAAGAAGGGCGGCAAGGGTGCGGAGGCGGGAATGCGCTACAGCGACTTCTTCGGTGGAGGAGACGATGACGAGGATGAGGACGAGGAGGGCGAAGAGGATGAAGGGGAGGAGGACGAAGAGGATGAGGAGCGCGGGGCGGGACAGCGGCGGGGTGGAAAGGCGGGCGGGCTGTTGTCAAGTGAAGACATGGAGGTGGACGACGATGAGGACGAGGAGGATGGAGGGGCGGCGAGGCGGCGATCCGGCAAGGATGCAGGTGCGTTTGGTGTGATGTAGGGAGGGGAGGAGGGAAGGGGGAAGAGGTGAGGGAGGAGGTCCGGGGGCCGCTGCCAGAGGGGCGGGGAGGCGGACGTCAGGGCCGCGGGGCATGGCCTGCTCCTGTCCGGGTGCCATCATGCCGTACTACCGGCATCAGGCTGCATCAGTGTCAAGCTGCGGGGGCGCTACTGACTCCCATCCTCCCACCTCCCCCTGGCCCCTCCCTGTCCTCCTCCCTCCTCCCGGCCCCGCCCAGGTCCCCGAGAGGGCGGCAAGCCGGGTGCCAAGCGGGGTGCGGAGGCGGCAGCCGCGCTGTCCTCCCACGAGCGGCGGCTGGCCCGCATGCAGGAGCGGGTGGCGGAGCTGGAGGCGGCTGCGCTGGCGGAGCGGCAGTGGCACCTGACGGGCGAGGCGGCGGCGGGGTCGCGGCCGCTGAACAGCGCACTGGAACTGGACATGGACTTTGAGACGACGGGTGAGGGGGGGTGTTTAAAACTGGGGGGGGGGAGAGACATATAAAAAAGGGAAGTGGTGAGAGGGGCGGGGGATGTGGAGTAGAGTAGAGGCTTAAGTCATGGTTTGCCATGCGTGGTAGCATGCTGGGGGATGTGGCCTGCAAGCCGCCCGCCGCTCTGCCACCACCCCCGCACAAGTACAACGTCCACACATCTGCCATCAACTCTCCTGCGCCGGTTCGCTTCCCAGCTCCACGCACCACCCTAACTCCAAGCGCCCTTGCCCTCGATTCCCCCTGCCCTTTCTGCCGTACAGCCAAGCCCGTCCCCGTACAAACCGACGAGATGACCAACGACCTGGAAGCCCTCATCCGCAAACGCATCGTGGACCGGCGTTTTGATGACGTCATCCGCGTCGTACCGCCGCCCCTGGAATCCAAGAAGAAGGAGATTGACTTGGACGATTCCAAATCCAAGGCGGGTCTGGGGGAGCTGTACGAGCAGGACTATGTACGGCAGGTGGCTGGCGGTACGACAGAGGACAAGGACGAGCGGCTGCGTGGGGAGGCGAAGGCGCTGTTCAAGGCGCTGTGCTTCAAACTGGACGCGCTGAGTCGCTTCCACTTCGCGCCCAAGCCGGTGGTGGAGGAGATGGCGGTGCGCAGCGAGGTGAGGGAAGGGGAGGGGAGGGGTGAGGGATATGAATATGGATATGGTGAGGGATAGGTACTGTCGGAAAGAAAACCTCATGACAAGGCTGGGTTACAGGGAGGGGTCAAGAGAGTAATGGTAGTCTGGCGTGAGGGTTAGGGAGTGGGGAAAGGTGGAGCGGATATGATATGGCGAGGTGAGGAGGTAAGGGTACCCGTGCCAACCCAACAGCGTCGCACTCCTTCCCGAATCCTGTCCTACATCTCTCCCTCGCTCCCCTCCCCTCGCCCCTGCACCCCCCCCCTCCAGGTCCCCGCCATCGCCATGGAGGAGGCTGCCCCGGTGGCGGTCAGCAAGGCGGCCATGCAGCTGCCCGGGGAGGTGTTTGCGCCCGCGGCAAAGGACGGCAAGCCCGTGGCGGAGGGGGAGCTCACAAGGTGGGAGGGGGGGGATGCCGGGGCGGGGGCGGGTAGCAATGGTGAGCCCCTGCCGACGCCGACCTCACAAGCGCCTGTTGTCACGACCAGCGCCAGTGCCTGCTGTTCCCCCATCTTCTTCTCTTGTGATCCCCTTTATTGTGCTGATCTCCTCTTTCCGCCACCTCAGGGAGGACCGCAAGCAGCGGCGCGCCAAGAAGAAGCGTGCGCACAAGGCCAAGGAGGCGGCCAAGGAGGCGGAGCGGCGGGCGAAGGCGGTGGCGGCAGGGGGCGAGGCGGAGGTGGTGGGACGCAAGTCGGACAGCAAGGTAGGGGTGGTGCGGGGTGGGAGTGGGAGTGGAGGGGTATATGGAAGGGGAAGACGTGGCGCTCGGGACGCGGCACAGAGGGTGGTACATGCAAGGGAAGGAGGTCTGTGTGTCTGCCAGTGAGCCTGCACCTCGGGTTGCGTCTCTGTGTTCACATCTCCGGTGCGCGCACTTGACAAACACCCAACCTCCTCCCCTTCCCCCTCCCCAACCCCCTAGGTTGTGTCCGGCAAGGGAGTCAAGGTGGTGGAGGGTGCGGGTGCTGCCCGCCACGGCCGCACCGACCTGGGCAACACCTCCGCCGTCTTCGCGAAGCTGGCGGCGGAGCAGAAGCAGCAGGCGGCAGCGGGGGGTGCAGCAGTGGAGAAGGTGGCGAGGGAGCTGAAGAAGGCGGGCGGCAGCGGGGGGCAGGAGGGAGGGAAGAAGGGCGGCGCTGCGTTCAAGCTGTAGGGGGGAGGCGGGGTTGTAGGAAGGCGCGGTGGCGGGAGGGGTGTGGTGTTGGGAAGGGGCTGACGGATGGGAGGTGCGGGTGCGGTTTCCGAGGAAGGATGGCGTGACGTGTGGATGAATCCTGGAATTCAATACGGTTCAGTTCGGTATGGGAGGGGTTGCCAGGAGGGGGGTTATGGGCAAGGGCGGAGCAGAGGGTTCGAGCTGGGGGGGATTCCCGGCATGAGGCACGGGGTGTAGGGCGAACAAGGGGCTTAGGAGTGGCAAGGGGCTGTGTTCCTCAATTCCGGTATCTATGTGCCTGTGGTCATGTAGAGCAGTAGGGGGTATTGCTTGGGGACTGGGAATTGCAGTCGATGCGTTCTGAGCTGTCGCACGGCTTGGGGACGGCTGTGGAGGTAACCGTGTTTGTCTGCGATGATGGGTGCAGCTGAGAGCAGTGGGCTGTGAGGCTCCGGCTTGTCCCGTACAACACAGGAGAGGCTGTGGCTGCTGGTAAAGCGGGAGGTGCTGATGGTGTCTACAGGTTCGGGGCTGGGCGCAGAGCAACTTCCGGACACGGGTGTTGTCGGAGGGAGGAGCGTGCTTTGTACAAGAAGGAGCTGGGACATGTTGGTGCTCTTTGCGCATCCGTTTGGCGGAGTTCGTGTCTGCTTATGGGCAGCGTCGAGAAAGCTTGGGAGCTTTGGCGCGCAGCTCGCAGACGCGAAGGAGGAGGAAGATGTGCAAACATGTATTGTACTATCTATGTGCAAAGGCTAGTCAGCACGAGCTCCGATCCCCTCTCGTAACCTTCGGATTCTAGTCCGCAGTAGCATGTAGCAAAGCTTAGTAAGTGTAAGACCACATGATGTACAAGGATGACGAACTAGCTTACATTGATGAACCGAAGTCGACTGTAACAGTTCATATTAGCGAAATGGGTGTATACGTGCTACGCGGTTGACTGGCCGAAATTTTTCACGGTGGCGATGGTGTCATTTACGTTGGTTCTTGGTCGTCCGCCTACTCGCGCATTTTGCACCAAACAGCTGCATAGACGTCTGCTATACATACATATGAAACTTTTGTCCTAATACACTTTGGTCTGAAGGCGTGAGACAAGAGAGGTTGCGGCAGGTTTCGCGACCTGGTCGAAATCAGGGAGACCTTGGAATTAGGCACATTCAGAGATAAAGCAGTACTAGAGCTTGAATAAGCCACTGGTGGCATTTATTAGTTGAAAAGTTAAAAAAATCCGCTATTTCCATTCTCGTTATCCAGCACGTTACCTGCTACGAAGCCTACCACTGACTCTGTCATAGTTGTGGGCAGGATGGCTTCTTATCGGGCCAAGCTTTCCAACGAAGAGCGCATTTGGTCGCAGCTACCGCAAGAGTTAGCTGAGCGTATCGTGTCTTTCGTGCCATCGAACGAAGTTGCGTGCACCATCCGATTGTTGAACAAGGCCGCAGCCGCCCAGTTCCGCACATCGCAACATCTAACCATCCATCTATCTTCGCCTTCACCGCCTGACGCGTTTTCGTGGCGCTGGGGCACCAAAGACGCAATGAAAGACCTCACATATGAGAAGCGCCTGAAGCTGGTCCGCCTGGTGGCTAAGAGCGGCAGCATCCCCAACATGCAGACAGCAATTGCCAACGCAGGCTGCGCCCTTAAGAAGGAGGTACTCCTTTCTGCGGCGTCTGCCGGCCAACTCGACATGTGCCGATGGCTGCTAGTACAGGGCTGTCCAGACGGAGACAAGCGCTTCACCGCAGCTGCCAAAGCTGCTAAGAAGGGACACATAGATGTTTGCCACTTCCTCCTCTCCAGGAATCTTGACCACCTTGAGGACACAATTCACAGCGCCGCCTTTGGAGGCCACTTGGGCTTGGTAGAAGCGCTGCTAGAGATGCTGCCCTCAGACGAGGGCACCTTTTCCTGGTTGCTACTAGAGTCCGCCCTGTCAGGCCATTGCAGCCTGGCAGCCGTGCAGCAGATCTTCCGCGGTTGGCACGAGAAGCTGCAACTCTATTGCCCCGACTACCTGTGGCGCTTCGGGCGGGATGCATTGGAAGTGAGCCCGGCGGCCGCGGTGGCCAGCCGCTCGCCTGACTGGCAGGCCAAGGCGGAGTGGGTCGAGGACGTGTTTGGCCTCTGGCCGCGGGCCGGCCCCTGGCAGCACGTCGTGGACAAGCCCGACGCCCTGGAACGCATCCTGTGGCTGCGGTCCCGTGGTTATGGTTTCGGGACTGAGGAAGTGGATGCAGCCACGCACACCGGCAACATCACGGCCCTGGCGTATTTCCTAACGGGAGGCAACTACCCGAGCGCACCTGCCGTACTCTTGTGCGCAAGGCGAGGGCACATGGCTGCTCTACAGATGCTGCACTTCCATGGCATCTTGGTGCGGGCGTCCCAGGGAGCGCTAGGGACGGATGAGGACTTGCCGGCTGCAGCTGCCAGTGGCGGGCACCTGGGTATCGTTGCCTGGCTGGTAGAGGTGGTGGGTCTGGGGCTGGGAGCCGGGGTGTTCAGCGGGGCAGCCGGGTCGGGCAACCTGGAGCTGCTGAGGTGGCTGCGGGAGCGGGGCTGCCCCTGGGGTGAGGAGGCGTTCACGTCTGCGGCGCAAGGCGGGTGTGAGGCGGCGCTGGAGTGGCTGGTGGAGCTGGGCTGCCCGCTGCCGGTGAGGCTGGTTGGGGTGGGCGGCAGCATGTGCTGAACGCCGGTAGCTACGACGGCTGCTTGCTGCCTGAAGCCATGGCACGAAGGCCCGGTGCGTCCTCTGCAGCTTCCTGCCTCTCAGCCCTGCCCACAATCCCCTGCCGTGCTGCGTCTGCCGTGCGTGATACACCACTTGGAGGTGTATAAGCACCCCTCCCCGTCCCTGCTGTGTTCTCCCACTGTCACCTCCAGGTGGGAGGTATGCCCTACCTGTGTGCCGCCATGAGCGGCGACCTGGCCACACTGCGCTGCCTGCGGCGGCTGCGCTGCCCCTGGGAGGACCCCGGGTTCATGCTGGCCAGCTGCGCGCAGCTGGGCGGGCCGGAGGTGCTGCGGTGGCTGCTGGACGGAGTGACTGGGCGGAGCGGTGGGTGAGACGAGGAAACAACTAACTGACCGTGCGCGGGGCGGTGGGGGCGGGTGCAGCAACTATTCTGGCTGTCGTGGTCTCCTGCGTGCTTCCGTACACTGTAGGGTGCATGGGACGTCCGGCAGGTGGACGAGGACTCGGGCCTCTTCGGTGTGATCGGAGTGTCTTTATGGAAGTAGGAGTTGCCGTACGTTCGTACGTGTCTGGCTGAGGGCATGCCCTACTTGCACATCCCAGCATCGTACTTGTACATCCTAGCAGACGGAACAGACGCCCGGTACGACAGCAGCATTGGCGGGGGCAGGTGTACGGCCGAGACTGCCTGCGCTGCCAAACAGCACCGGTGTATGGGCCTGTATCATACGGGGCTGCTCCCTTAGCACGTGTCTGTGCCGCCTTCCGATGAACGGCCTGACATGTCAGCTGCAACCGCACCGCCCCAGCATGTCCTCAGACTGCCCCAACAAGCGGCAGCAGCTCGTAACACCTGCTGCTGTTATCGTACGTACAGAACGGTACGGTACCTTCCTCAGCTTGCCTCCTTCTTCCCTAGCTATCTACACAGGAGTCACACTGCTGCCGGGCTACAGTCAGTCTATGTACAGGTATGTTCAGCGATAGGATTGCGCAGCGTTAGGATTACCCAATACGAACACGTTTACGGCACGTGCATTCGGTAACAGGCAACTTGCACGCTTCTTTGCAGTTGACAGCAGCAGGTATAGTGAGGAGTAAGATTACTTTCCACCATAGCCATTCGTGTTCCGTTGCCGATGCCCCCTTCACCCCTACAGCCAGGGCCACCCAGCCGCCCTCCTGCCACTGTCGCAGCAGCCCACCACCGGTACACACGCCACGCTGCCCGCCTCAGTCGCCTCAACCCTGTCCGTACAGAACCGTACGATTTGCTGTACCTTCCTAGCTTCCAATAATGCTCCGCTCCTTATCCCATAACATTTCGCCCACCCTAATCGGCCGGTAGTGTGTAGCCAAGCCATCTTGTCCTCCCCTTTCGCTCGTACTCCCAACACTGTAAGACATTCCTCCAAAGTAACTCAAGTAGCAGCCTCGCGCCATCACCCTGTCACTCAACCCCTCTTCCGCCCGCAGCACTCCTCCCGATGTCCCGCCCGCCAGTGTGCCATCTGGCACTCCCGGCCGCAGTACCACACCCCTCCGCACCGCCCGCACGCCTGCAGCGGCAGCTCAGCCTCACTCAACCCCGCCAGGTTGACGCAGCCGGGGTGGCCACAGCTGTGAGGCAGCTGCAGCTGCGCGCGAGCCTCTGCCGGCGGCACCAGCGCAAGAGACAACGCAACGTCCCGAGGCGGCAGAGCGTCCAGCTCGACCATGCACTGCCCGTCATCCTCGTCCCCGCCGCCGCCGCCGCTGCGCCACTCCTCCAGCTGCATCGCCAGGGTCTCCACAACAGCCGCCAGCCGCACTTCGCCCTGCGAACGCAGCCCCAGCGCCATTGCACGGACCGCCTCCGGACGCCATGCATGCTGCAACGCCGGCGCCATCTCATCGCCCTGGTCGGTAGCCGTCGTCACCGCCGCCTGCCGTACCTCCTGCGGGCACATCGCCGCCAGCATGCAGCAGTTTAACGCCAGGAGCGGTAGCACCTTGTCAGGCAGCAGCTGAGCCTCCCGCAGCTGCAGTACAGCACCCAGCAGCGGCACCGCGCCCACGTCGTGCAGCAGCACACGCTGCCACTCGGAGCCGTCACCGCAGCCGTCACCACGGGCCCCACCTCCGTCGTTGTTGCCGCCACCGCCCGTGTTTCCCCCCGCCTCGGTGCCCTTGTCGCTGCAGCTTTCCTCCCCGCCGTGTGCGCTACCACTGCTGCTGCCGGTGTGGCCGCCGCCAAGACTAGCCCAACCACAGTGCAGACAGCAAGACAGCGACGGAAGGAGTGTCTCCACGCATATCGTCAGCAGGCGCTCTGTCTGAGGCGGGTCTTGCGCATGAGGTCGGCTGCCTGCGCCGCTTGCGCCGGCTCCTGACGCCAGCACCGCTGCCTGCCGCCGCGCTGCCTCCTGAACCTGCCGTGACAGCGCCGGCATCCACTCGTACATCGCGTGCGACAGCAGCAGGGGCTCCAGAACACGTGGCGCTGCAGGTGCGTCCGCCGGGTTGGATGCAGCCGCCGCCACCGTCGTGTCATCCATGACCGCAGCCGCGCTTGGCGGCGCATTGACCGACGCATTCGCCGCCACCAATAGCACTGCTAGCAAGGCGACGGCCAGGGCCACCATGCGGTGCCGGAATCCCTCCTCTGTGCGCATGACCCGTGGGTCAGCACGGCGCAGCAGCTTGCCCACCGTGGAGATCAGCGCCGCCGCCTGTCGCGGCTGCGTGTACGGCAGCAGCTGCGGGAGTACGGCGGCCAGTTGGGCCATGGGCGCCACCAGGATAGCCCTGTCACTCTGTGTGGGGTCTGAGCCGATGCGTCGGAGCCAGTACTCCAGACAGAGCAGCAGACTCTCAGCCAACGATGCGGCCAGCGTTGGTCGCAGCGCAGGGTGGTCTGCCGGAGCGATGAGAGGACGGGCAAGTTGTAGTGCATACAGCGAAAGAAGTTAAGAATATAGCAATAAACGGCGATGAGAAAGTTGGTATATACAGCGATTCGATGGTATATACAGCGATTCGAACATTCAACAGTTAAACCCGAGGGTTACCGTGTTGAACACCCCCGGCCCATCCGGCCCATATCCAGAGTCATAAAGCAAACGACCTTTCACCTGGATAACCAAGCAAACCCACACAAAATGACAAGCCTAAAGTACCGTATGTGCTGATTACGAGCCCACGAACCAAAATATGCATTAACGTTTTGTAGCAACCAATACACCAATCTCCCCACACCCTCATCCATCATGTCCCCTTCATGTCCCCTATCTGATTCCTCCGAGCCTCCGGTACTTACCGGCGCCTTGCATGGCCCTGCACAGGGCAGGCAGCTCCGAACGGGCCTCGCTGATCCACGCCTCCTCACTGTACGGCGTCGAGTCCCGCTCGCCGTACCGTTCAACCTCCGCCGCCAGCCCCCACCACTCCACCACCTGCGCCCACCACCGGGCCGACCCCACCTGCTGCGTCCGCAGCTGCCGCGCCGCCCGCAGCGCCATCCATGCAATGTAGGTTGCCTCAACCTGCCGCAGCACCGCCTGCAGAGGAAGATCCGGTCGAACCGCGGAGCCCCCGCTAGCGGGAGCGGGGTTCCGGCCGCCGCCACCGCCGCTTCCATTTGCAGCTGCGTCGCTGCCGGCGGCGCGGTGCGGCAGCCGCCCTGCGCCCCCTCGCCCCGCCCAGTATCGCCCCGACGCTGCCGCCAGGCGAGCAGCCCGCAGCGCCAGCAGCAGCGATGCGCGCCTACCGGGCGGCGGGTCAGCTAAGCCGGGAACTAGCACCTTGACCGCCGCAAGCAGCAGGACGCCGTTGATGACGGGCATGTCAGCCCCGCCGCCACCGCCGCCGTCGCTGGAGATTGCCCCGCCGCCGCCGCTGCCGGTTTGGCCCGCGCTGCCTCCGCCGCCGCCGCCGCACCCGCCGCTGTCGCTGCGGCCTCCTTCCACGTACCCAACAGGCACCCGCCGCATGACCTCCGGTGGCAGGCCGTACGACGGGCCGCCGTCCGCCGCGCACAGATCTACCATGCCATACACCCAAACCGCATGCCGTACACACCGGCCGGCCAGCACCGACTGCTGCAGCTGAAGGACACCGCGGTCGTACAGCCTGTCGATCATCTCCACAGTGGCGCCAAGCATGAATACACCCTCCCTGCTGCTGCCTGGCGACCAAGACAGCTGCTGCTCTTGAGCCGCTGCAGCCGCGTTTCCTGGCAGCGGCAGCGGCAGCGGCAGCCGGGCCGCGTGCTCCAGCAAGCAGCTGTCCTGCAGGCTCCTCTCCAGCTCGGTCGCTAGTAGGCGATGCGCGTCTTGAGCACCCGCAGACGGCTGTGCGAAGGCAAGCATGCACAGGTTCAGTGCCAGAGACAATGCCATGACGCAGATCTTCACAGCCAGCACGCTGTCCTCCGCCACCGCTGCCTCCGCCGCTGCTTGCCGGTGAGGCTGTCGCTGCTGCTGCTGTTGCTGATGTTGCTGCTGCTTGGGCGGTACCGCAGGGCGGCCCGGCCCGAGCGATTGCTGCTCTGCTTGGGAGGCCAGCAGGCGGCTGAAGGCCTGCAGGGTGTCTGCACGCAGCAGCTTGCGCGCAGCATCCACGGCAGCTTCAGAGGAGGGAACGGACTTGCGAGCGACCTTGGCTATCAGCGTGAGCGCGTCGAAGCAGACGGATGCTTTCATATAGCTCGTATCAAACCGTTCAGCATCGTATGCTGCACGCCAGTCTTCAATCGGCAACCGTGGTGCAAGCACTGCAAGCCGTAGCAGCGCGGAGCGAACTTGCTCGTTGGATAGTATTGTCGCAGCAGAAAGAGCGCCAGCAGTCTCAGCCAAAGGGGTTGTGTCATGCACGGCAACCATCTTGTCTAGGCTGCGAATACAAGCAAGGAGGTCGATGTAGAGTGATCTGCTGCCAGGGAGACGTGGAAAGCTGCGCGTTGCCTGCCCCTGAGGACCAAGCAGGCGATTAACAAGCCCGGGCAATTGTTGAAGGCTGGTTTGGTGTTCGCTAGAACGGATGCCAAAGGCTGCTGCGCTGTGGTGGCGGCTGCTGGGATGATCTTGGCTGCTACTAGCCCGACCGCGCACGGCGCCTCGCCTTGGCATTTTATAGCTTGCTTTGGGCAGCGCTGCCTTCAGAAGCAGCCCTAGAGGAGCCTACATGGTGCAGGCTTGTTGTTTAAAAACGTTAAATGAGAAGCCGGAAGCCACGGAATGCCAAAAAATGCTATTTGGCGGCCTGACCTGGAGGTGATGATCTGGAGCTCGCGACGACAAGTTGGCAGCCTGAAAGCTCCCGAAGGAAGCCCTGTTTTTAGCAGATCTGATGTCTTGAAGACCACGACATGGTTGCTATTCGTGTGACAAGTTCCACGCTAAGGCACCACTTTCCCAAAAACGACCCAGGGGTCCTGCAATGCGGCCTCCTTTTGAATGGTTATTAATTATCCGGGATAAACATGCAGGTAAGTTAAACTTTTGGCAAAAAGTTCGTCTAATCAGTTCTAATATCACCGCCGCTGGTTGGCTGCCGTACAGAAAGGTTTTGCATTCCGCAGTGGACGGCTGTCAAAAGGGACCAACGTAGTTAGGCAATTTGAAGGGCTTCAAAGGATGCCATGGGAGGATTTATCTGCTGTTTACAGCGTAGGGCTACTCCCGCTATTTCCGACTGCTGAGTAAGGACGCAGGTCCTGGAGCTCACGCAACTACTGCTAACAGCTTAATGCGCTGTTTCCTATGTGTCCTCATTTGGTCCAACTGAATGCATCCAAAGTCGACACACATCGAGGTGATCTGGTCTTGTCTAGATCCGCCATGCCCCTACATAGGTCCGTTGCGCCCTTACCCCGCGTCCTAAACCTTCCAAAACACCCCATGCTAAACCTTTACCCCCTTTTCCACATCACTCCTCCTTCCCAAACCGCTCTCCAGACCCCTTCCTGTCTTCCTCCTCCTCCTCCCCACGCCCCCCCTCACGGTCACTACTTTTTATCGCTGCTCAGTTCACCCAGTCCCCTCCTCCTCCCTCCTCCCTCCTCCCTCCTCCCTCACGCCAGCAGCGCCTTCACCCCCGCCTCCGGGTCCCCCTGCTTCACAATGGACTCCCCCACCAGGATGGCGCCGCACCCCGCACCCTGCACGAACGCCACGTCAGCCGGCGTGAAGATGCCGCTCTCGCCAACCATGATGATGCCCCGCTCCTTGACCTGCCGGGGAGGGGAAAAGGGAGGGGGGGGGAGGGAGGGAGGGAGGGTGTGCATGGCGCAGAGTAATAATTCGCCACATCATCGTCATGGGCAGCGTGCAGCGGTGCATCCCACCCCACACCTGTGCCCGCCGGCTCGCCTATACCGGTAACCCCAACAGCCCTCCAGCACCCTCCCCCAGCTTGCCCAGCCCGCCTCCCCCAAAATGCCCCCCCCCACTCGTCAGTTGCATCGTCAGTGTCTCATTTTATTTTTTACCCCACCTGCTGCCCCCACTCGCTGTCCATGATCCGCTTGGTGGTGTGCAGGTCCACCTGCGGGGGGGGGGCGGGGCAGGGAGGCGGGGAGGGGGAAATGGGGGCGGGGAGAGGGGATGTAGGTAGGTAACTGGAAGGAGGGAGGAGGTGGCAGTGGCAGGGTCAGCTCGTGGGACTCAGGGCGCAAGACCGCCGCCGCTCCTGTGCCCCACGAGAAGACACGACCCCTGAGCCGCACGTGCCAGCCTGCACCTTAATAGCAACCCCGTCCTCATCCTTTTTTACGCGCTGCACTCAGTTCCCACATTGCAAGTTCGACCCTATTCTGCAGTTATATCACTGTATTTTGTGTTCTTTCTGCTAATTCCCAAACAGTACCCAGCCCCTCCCCCCCTGCTCCTGCTCCTCCCGCACCTTGAACGTGCCCAGGTCCCGGTTGTTTATCCCCAGCAGGTGCCCCTCCACCCCCGGCAGCTGCAGCACCCGCGCCAGCTCGACCTCCGTGTGCACCTCGATCAGACACACCATGCCCAGGTTGGAGGCGGCCTTCAGGAAGTACGACAGATCCGAGTTGGGCAGTACGGCGGCGATCAGGAGGATGGCGTCAGCGCCGCTGTGGGAACGGAGCGGGGGGGGGAGAGGAAGAACGGAGGGAGGGAGGAGGGAGGGAAAAGACGGAGGGAGAGGTGGGATGGGTGAGAGCAGAAGGAAGGAAGGTGGAAGGTGGAGGTGCGTGGGCATGGGGGCGCAGGGTAACCTCCGGCGCGCTCTTACCATTAACCTTAAAAAGGACCCCGCTGCCCCTTCCCTTCCTCCCTCAACCCATCCCCACCCCAACCATGTCGCCCCATCTAGCCCTCTCCCCCCTCCCACGCCTTATCACACGGTCAGTTAGTTGCTTCCTTCATTACCCCCCTCCCAACCCCCCCTGTCGCGCCCCCCTGCCCCCACCTGGCCCTCGCCTTGTACACCTGGTATGCCTCCACAATGAACTCCTTGCACAGCAGCGGGCAGGACACACCGGCGGCGCGGATGCGGGCGAGGTTCTCAAAGGAACCCTGCAGGGGTGGGGGGATGATGGTGGTGTGTGTGTGGGGGGGGGGGGGGTAGGGTGGAGGGTGGAGGGGTGAGGGCGGAGAGCAAGGGAGAGAGGTCAGCAAAAGGGGATCGGCGGCAGGTTGGGTTGAGTGGCCCTACTCCTATCCATCACACCTTCCTATGGTTTGGTAAACCAACACTGGTTTTGTGTCATCCTGCCGCTTCCTATCCCCATTGTCTAGCCCCAACCTGCGGTTTCCTGTGGCTCAGTATGGTCTTCTACCCCCGCTCCCCGCTCCCCTCCCACCTGGAAGAACTTCTCATCCGTGAGTACGGACAGGCAGGCCGCGCCGCCCCGCTCGTAGGCCTGGGCGATGCGCACGGGGTCGAAGTCGGGTTGGATGACCCCCTTGGAGGGGGAGGCCTTCTTCACCTCGGCGATCAGGCCGGGGCGACCTGGGGGGGGAAGGGGGGGGAGGGGAAAGATCAAAGATAAGTGCAGCAACGGAGTCCCCATCCCGGAGCCCGGCTCATGGGGGGAGGAGGAAGGTGGGAGCGGGGCAGGGAGGGAGGGGAGGCGGGTTGGAAGGTGCCAGGGGAAAGGCTGGAGTGCGGGTTGGAGGCGGAGGGGGGGTGGTGACAGGAGCAGCAGCCGTCTGCTGTCCACTGTCTGGTCCGGAGGGCACCACGTGCGGGGACCAGCAGCGTGTGAGGCAGGCTGGTCCCCGACCCGGCCCCAGCGGGCAGGGGCTTTGGCTTGAACGTGGCCCCACAGCAGGGTGAGGGACGGGGAGGGGAGGTGCCAGGGGGGAGGGATCGCTGGCGCCACCTAACTAGCCCGCCACCTCGCCCCGGCTGGGACCGCTACCTGGCCCCGGGGCAGCTGGAGGCGTCCGCCTGGACCCCCAGGCCGGGAACCGTCCACCCGTCCGCATCACCCGGGGTGACGAGGGAACCAGCCACCAGGTGTCACAAAGCCCCGCCATGTGGCGCTGCTGCTGGTACTGGTACCGGGGTAGGAGGGGGAGGCTGCGGGAGGAGGAAGTGCGGTCCCGTCCGGTGTGGCTGTGGGCGAGGCAGCGGTAGCTCCCCCTACTGCTCCTCCGCTTCCTTTATACAAGCGGACTTACGCCACTCGCTGCATTTAGGTCCCTTTTCCCTCCTTGAGACACTACAACAATCGCCTTCCAGCTGCCTTACCGTACCCGCCCAGCCCCTCCTCCTGCTCCCCTCCCTCCCCCCCCTTCCCCCTCGCCCCGCCCCACCCGTCTGCTCCGCCTTCGCCCGAATGGCCCCCCGGAAGTCCCGAGCGGGCGCCGCCTTCTCCGCCAGCGCCTTCATGAGGGCCAGCGGCTGCTTCTCCCGCATCACCTCCACCTCGCGGGCCTTCCACCTGCCAGGAGGGGAGGAGGATGGGGGCGGGGGAGGGGGGAGGGAGGGAGGAAGGCAGGGCGTGATGCTTGTGGGTTATGGGACGAGGTTCAAATTTGGAACATTGGGCTCAATGCCTACCCCTGCAACCCTCCCCGCATGGTACTGGAGTATGGGACTGAAGTGGAGGAAGGATTTGAGCACGGGAGGTCCCCCTTGTTGAGGCAACTCACCACACAATCTCCTCCAGGATGTTCTGCGGCTTGTTCTCGTCCGGCAGACCACCCACGCGGAAGGCGTGAGGACCGCACCTACGCCGTCCCGCAAGCAAGCAAAGTAACATACGATGAGGGGGTGAATTGGAGGTAAGTAGAGGGAGTTGTTGTAGCCCTGTTTCACTTACGGCTGTATCTCCACGCCGTGCGGTGGGCGTCGGCGGATGGTGACCTCGCCCATCTGCGCGTACACACATACGCTAATTGACAGCGCCCTTAAATTCAGAGCTGTCGTAACACGTAAAGCTTGCAAAGGGGTTTGCTGAAAGCACTAAACTAAATACTAGTCGCGATGCTATCTTTGCCGACTCACCGCGGCGTTGGAAGAGCAAGCTAAGCGTAACGCAATTCTAGCAGGCTTAGCTGTCCGCCTTACACCCGCGGAGGCGGGGCGAACCTGCCCTTGAGTGAGCAGCATTGTGTGCAAGTGCGGAATCGCGGCCTGCACCTCTCCACAATACTCTCACCCCAATGCTATTATAAATGTACTCAGCTACAGTTTGAAATGGCTTGGACAGCAAACAAATGTTGGTTGCCGTCTGATGCTCGTACAGCAGCGTTAAAATAGCAACCTAAAGCGAACCCGTAGATTAAGCCCAACACAATTCGTTGTCTACGTCAGAACGCGACAATAAGCACTTACCCAAATGCGCTCAAGCAAGCAGACGTACGCTCGCGGTCATCGAGCCAAAGGAAAGCAACAGGACAATAGCAAGGAGTTTGAAAAGTATTACAGCGGCATCTATGGCGACAGGTATATAGTTTACGCAGCATGTCTATTGCCTTTGCTATCAAATATACCTTTGGGCCGCCGGGATGACGCCGCCCATCCCATCTCCACTGCCGCTCCCCGTCCCCGCTCCCTGCTCCCGCCAAGACACGCCCTCCCCTCCCCTCAACCCCATTCCCATTCTAATAGGTGGCCCTCTCTCCGCGAGGCCCTTATAAGGCCCACAGTCCACTCAGCTGTCGCCAATGGCTTCATCCCCTCAGCCTCCGCTGCCGCCTGCACTACCGCCGGCCTCACACCCCTCCTCTCCGTTGGCCCCCTGCATGCCTACCGCCGCACCCAGTCCTCCGGCCCCTACCCTTCGCCCCCTCTGGACCCCGCCTCGGCGCTCCGCGCCTGGTACTGGATGGATCTGGCTTCCGTACTTCCCGTACTGCTGCTACAGCCTCGTCGCGGGGATGTCGTACTGGACATGTGTGCGGCACCTGGCGGCAAGTCCTCCCTAGCGGCGCAGTGGCTGTTCGGGCCCAACCAGCAGCAGCAGCAACAGCAGCAGGGGCCAGCAGTAGCAGCGGTGGGAGCGGTGGTGGGAGCAGGAGCGGCAGCGTCATCAGCAGGGGCAGGAGCGGAAGCAGGGCCAGCGAGGGAGGCGCTTGCAGCAGGGGCCGCAGTTGCGTCAGAGGAGGGAGCGGCGGAGCGGATACCAGCAACGGCAGAGGCAGCATCTACTTCCGCCTCCGCAGCGGCACCTTGTTGCTCCTCCTCCTCCGGGCAAGAGGAAGCAGCAGCGACGCCACCCCCTGCCTCCCCGCTCCCTCTGCCCCTCCCCCTCCCCCTCGCTCCCGGCAAGCTGGTGTGCAACGAGGCCGACCGGGTGCGGCTGCAGCGGCTGCACCGGGTGCTGGAGGAGTACCTGCCGGTAGCTGCGCGGGCGCATGTGGAGGTGAGGGCGGCAAAGTGCCAACCCTCCCTTGGTCTGTTGCTTCGCCCCGACTTGCGGTGATGTACCGGTATCATGTGGTGTGATTTCTCCCCTCCTCCCCTCACCCCCCGCAGGTTCTCAACTACCGCGGCCAGCTCTACTGGGCTCGCAACCAGGCGGCCCGCTACGATGCGGTGCTGGTGGACGCGCCCTGCTCCTCCGACCGCCACGTGCTGCAGCAGGCGGTGGCGGGCGCGGGAGGGGGCGGCGCGGGAGGCAAGGGGCAGATGGCGGCTGCGGACTGGTCGCTGGAGGGGTGCAAGCGCATCGCGGACGAGCAGCTGCAGGTGGGTGGGGGGCGTGCGGAGGTGGGACGGATGGGGACCGGCACGCGGGGACCTTCAAACCGGCTGTTCCTCCTCCCAACCCCTCTGACCGCCCTCTGCTTTCCCTACTAGTGTTCAACTCCTCGTAGCCAACCCAAAACACAACCGCCCGCGCCCACGCCCCTCTCATCACCCTGCTCCCTCCCTCCTCCCCAGCTCTGCCTGGCTGCGCTGCGCTGCCTGCGCCCCGGCGGCCGGCTGGTCTACTCCACCTGCTCCATCTCGCCGCTACAGAACGACGCGCTCATAGACCGCCTGCTGGCACGCTGCGGCGGCGGCGGGGGGCAGCAGGCGGGGGCCGGGGCGGGGGCAGCAGCGGTGCGGGTGCTGCCGCCGCTGCAGCTGCTGGCAGGGGAGCAGCTGGGGGGGCAGCAGGCGGCGGATGCGGTGGCGGCCGTGTTGGGGGCGGAGGCGACGAAGCACGGGCTGATCTGCCTGCCTGACCGGGCGGGCTGGGGGCCTATTTATGTGGCGGTGGTGGAGAAGGTGGGGGAGGTGGGAGCGCTGGCGGGAGCGTTGGCGGACAGGTTGCGGATACAGGAGGAGGAGGAGGAGGAAGAGAAAGATGATGATGAGGAGGAGCAGGAGGATGGGTTGTAGGTGGAGCCTTGGGAGTGCGCGCGTGACAGCGGCGGCACTGCCTGGTGAGCCTGTAGCTGCTGGCGCCTTGGTGTGGCAATGCGTCCAGTAAATATGCTTGCAGCATGAAGCAACCATGTTCCCATGTGCGTATGGCATCACACTGACGTACCGGTAGCTACGGTAGGAGCTTACAGAACGATGCCCTAAAGGGACCAACATGCCACCGTTCTGCAAGCGTATCCGCCAAGTTCCTATCATAGTGGATTCAGCAGCCACGGGCCTCTCGCTACAATCACCAGCAGGCTACATGAACACGCATGGACAGCTATGGCCAGTGTTGTTACGCGGCTTCAGTTTACTCCGCCGGGCGGCTGCTCCGCGCCTCTGTCAGACTCATCCGCATGGGCTGCACCCGTCCATCCCCCTCCTGGACATGCAGCCAAAGAACTATATACCACATATACATTAAACATTCCCCCAATACAATAATCATACAATCCCAGCAAGCAAAGCGAAGGCTCCAAGCCTTGTGCATGTATCGCCTGCCTGCCTGTCTGTGAGCCCCCGGCCACCACCGGCAGGCCAGCCGGCAGGCTTCCATGCAGGCATCCCCCCCAGCTGCCCCTCAGCTGCTCAGCGCCGCAGCTTGGCCTTGCTTGCCCGCCTGGGGCCGAACAGGATGTGCTGCGGGATGTCCTCGTGCCGCTTCTTCAGCTCCTCGTAGCCGCTGAACTCGGGAAGGCCGTCCGGGTCGTCCCAGCCGTACTGCCCCAGCACCTCCTCGTACCTGGGGGAGGGGGAGGAGCGGGGTCGGGGGAGGGATGGGAGGGCGAGGGAGGGATACCTTGTAACTGAGCCGCGAAGGACATGGGGCAGGTAAGCACGAGGGCTTGGGGTGTAATTGGAAGGGCGCCAAGGTGCACGGCATGCAAGGTGGCTGCATGCGTAACAGCGACCGGCTGCCGCAACCGCCGCGTTCAACCCCTGCTACCGGTACACGCCCCTACACACCCTCGCACCCCGCCCCCCTGCTGCTGCTGCTGCTACCTGCACTTGGTTGTTGTGAGGTGGTACTTGGACAGGAACTTGAGCTCCTCCACCAGCGGCACACACACCGGCCGCCGACTGCAGCTCACCTCGTACCTGCGGGCAGCGGGCAGCGGAGGGGGGGGGGCAGCGGGGTAGAGCAGCGGGGGGGCAGCAAGTAGCAGGGAGAGCAGCAGCGGGCGCATGGACGAAAGGTGGACAGCTGGGGCAACCGAGAGTATCCAGATCCCCGCGCAACGTGCACATGTGCCCACCAAGTACGCCCTCAAACGGTACATGAGTTATCGCCGTGCCCTCCCCTTCCCCCTGCCCAAACCCCCCCTGCCGCCGCCGCCTCACTTCATTTGCTTTGACAGCTCCGTGATGAGTCTGAAGATGTAGCAGAGCCGCGCCTGGCGGTTGAGGTGGCGCATGGCGAAGCGCCGGGCGGCCTTGGCGATGCGCTGCGCCTCCGCGTCGTGCGTCTTGGCCCACTCGATCATCTTGGTGTGGAGGTAGGGGAAGGAGGAGGACAGAGGGGTGGCGGCGGGATGGGGAGGTGGCAGGAGAGGGTTGGGGAGGGTGGGTGCGATGCAGCCGTATCTGTACCCGGTTCAGCCGCCACACCAGCCCATTCAAACCCACACCAGCCCAGCAATAACAACCACTAGTAACACCTGCACACATGCGCCAGCACTGCCACATGCACACAATCGCAGCTAACCCCGCCTCACATCCAGGATGTCGTTCTTGTGTTTCTGCATGATGGGGACGTAGTGCTTGTACGGCTCCAGAGCGGGGTAGTAGAAGCCGTAGGTGAGGCCCTCAGCCTGGGTGGGGGGAGGGAGCGGGTCGAAGGTCGAGAGGGGAAAGGGAGGGTTTGCGTGTGGGGTAGGGCTGGGGGGAGGCTGAAGGTTGAAGGATGCCGTTTACGCACCCACGCACCCGCCTCTCTCCCTACTGTCCCCCCTACCTTGAGTATGAGGCTGCCCAGCAGCAGGTACTTGTCGAACTTGGAGCTGATGGACCAGCCTGGTGGAGGTACGGGCGGGGAGGAGGGGGAAAGAAGTGGTGCGGGTGTGTTGGGGTTGAAGGTTACAGCATCATGCATCGGTGGTCAGTGTTCCCTCATGTGGCTCAGCTCAAACAACCCAACGGCTCCTCCACTCCTCCCCAGTCCACCTCCTCCTCCCCCCACTCACCATCCGTTGACACCAGGTATTTGAAGTTGTGTTGCTCGTGCAGCGACACGGGGGTGGCCACCCCGCCCGAGGTCAGGTTGCGGGTCAGCCCGGCGGTGAGCAGCACGTCCGAGTGGTTGTAGTACAGGTCGTTGTAGTACTGCCGGGGGCAGGGGGAGGCGCTGCCGTCCTCCATGCGGTGCGGGCCGTTATAGTACCAGGCGCAGAAGACTGGAGGGGGGGGAGGAGGGTAGGGGGAAGGAGAGAAAGGGGTTATTCTGCAGGGTGGTGCGGCGGAGGTACCGGTAGCAGCAACGGCGGTGCAGCGGTTGCGTCGCGGTACCTGCGTGGCTCAGCCACATGTCGTGTCACATGCATCGCTGTCTACACACGACCCGAGGTATCCGCGGATAGAGGCCATGCCACCCTTTGCTAGATCCGGGCCCGGTAGCGGGAACCGAATGGGAATTGGGTACTTATTAGCCCTCTACCGAGTCCACTCCTCCCCTGCATACGTGCTCCCAGCCGCACCGCCGGCACTCACTGTTCCAGCGCCCGAAGGCCATCTACGCGAGCCGTACAGCGCCCATGCAGGTGTTGTCAGGGTTGGGTTGGGGGGGGCCCAAGCAAGGGAATGGGGTGGGGGCAACCGGGAGTGAGTGTGGGCGGGGAAGGGGGCTTCGTAAGGGACCCGGGGTGCGCGGCGGGAGCAGGTGGCGGCTGGAGGGCGGGCGGGGCAAAGACAAGCAAGCAGTCGTGCACCATTCCCACACACCCACTCCTCCACGCAGCGAACCGAACTGCGCGGCACCCAGGAGCTATCCAATGCAAGGTCAGCGGCAGCTCATGTCGCCTCTCGCTAACTGCCCGTCTGCGTGCGTGCGCGTCCCCCCTCTGACCCCACTACCCCGGCTCCCCACCGCTAGCTTGCTCTCCCAGGGCGTCTCCGACATGCGCTGCACCTCGTTCAGCAGCGCGTCGAAGCTGTCATGCGGACACCTGGGGGGAGGGAGGGAGGTGAGAGGGGGAGCCCTGTAACCCCAATATCCTTGCTCGGGATACATCAGGCACCTGCAGTAGAACGCTCCTCCTCTCCTTCACTCCCGCCACCCACCAATTACCTTCCCCGCTCCCTCTCCTTCCCTACCCCCGCGCCCCCTCCAGCCCGCCGGCCCCCACCTGAACGCCCCGCTGTACGGCACCAGCAGCGCCCCGTGCTGCTTGGCCTTGCTCCACGCCAGCATGGGCGGCAGTCCGTGCGGCGGGTAGGGCCAGGACCAGGTGCCGTCCGGGTGCCCCACCGACTCCGCGGGCGCGTTGTCGTCGTGCCAGTAGCTGAACTCCACATCGGGCAGCCTGGAGAGGGTGGGAGGGGTTAGACATAGAGCAGAGGGGAGGGGAAAGGGAGGGGTGAGATGGGGTCACGGAAGGGGCATGGGTGCGGCAAGAGGGGGAGGACAGGGGAGCGTCGCCCCGCTGAGGCACAGGGCTACACGTGGGTGGTGTGCCGGTTGGCGCTGCGCTGGGAGGGAGCGAGGGGGCGAGGGAGGAGGAGCGGCAGAGGCAGCGCCACACCGGTCCATCGAGAGCAGCATTGACAGAGCTGTCTAAGCCAGGAGTCCGCTGTCCACCTCGTGCTGCTTTCTCTCTTCCTTATCACTCCTCCTACGCATCCTTATCCCCCTAGGCTGCACCTAGCTGGCGGCAGCCGGGGCTGCTGTAACTGCTGGGGGCTCCGCGGGCTCCCCCGGCCCTACGTGCGGGGTGCCTGGCGCTGGCCTGCCAGTGCTGAACCCTGCGGTCTGCTCTGCCGCTGCTACTGCTGCCTAGCTGCAGCATCCTCCTGTCCTCCTCGCCCCTTCAAGCCATGCGCGCTGTTCCCTTTTCAGTCCCGCGGCACTTACTGGTAGACCTGCAGGGAAGGGGGTGCACAGCGTGAGAAGAGGAGGTACAACCATGTCTGGGACGAGGACGAACGTGTGGCCGGGGTCACGTATCCGACCGCCGACACATGCCGTACATCCCGCCCAGTCACAGCGGTGGGTAAAACCCGGAAGTGAGCTAGGCACTTGGAACGTACCTGGCTGGTTTCGTAGAGCTCAACCAAGAATCCGATAAGTTCGATTGCCCCGAAGCCGTTCACCTGTTACGATGTAGCTGTTCAGATGGAAAGCTGTTCACTGCCGACCAGTTCGAGGCAAAGCCTGGCTTACCGGCATCAGGTTTGTCACGTATACTGTTCCATTCTTGATCAGAATGCGTTGCGACTTGACGCACGCATGGATACGAACTTCTGATGTTGGGCAGGGGTCATGTAGACTTCGCACTAAGTCTTCAGTAATCCCTTTTGAGCCCCATACTTTCGTCTCGTTCAACATTCTGCGAGCAAGCAGTTAGCATATGCATCTGTTAACCTGAACAGGGAAAGGAACTGTCCGCTGTTGCAAATTCTCTTACAGCTCCTCGATTTTTGGATGGAGATCACATGTTGCTAATTTTCGTGGACGCCAGTCGGCTGTGATATGGCGGGGAGAACTAAGAAAGATAAGCAACACCACCCCAAATAGGGCTGCGCTAAGCACGCGCATTATCCTGCCTAAGTACTGATGTCAAGAGGCCGCTTGCATTACGCATATGCGCAAAGAGTATGACGGCAACGGGCAAATTGCCTATGTGTGCCGTACGTGACGACCCGACGAGTTAGAAGTTGTAGGGCCGCCCGAGCCACAGCCATCTAAAGTTGCATCGGTCTCAAAGTCCCCACCGGTCTGGACTCCCTATCTTATTGCAGATAATCAATAAGGAATCCGCATGTGCAATTCAGGGCTCGAACTCTTGCCAGCCAGCTAACAACCGACTACAGCCGAATCATCAACCCAAGGGCGTATCTCCCAAGTAAGCTGTCGTGCCCTCTTGTCGTACACTTCAAAGCGAGCCGGATGTCCTGCCACACCAACTCGTTAGACTCCCAGTCGGTACTCCCCTCCCTGCACAGCCCACCACCTGCAAAGCAGAACCGCGTGGGATACTACATGAGGATGGCCCGGATGAAAACGGATGGAAGCACGTACGGTACCGTTACTGCTTTGGTCCGCCGCAGCATTAGAAGGACCCCCCTGCTTACCCACAGGTAGTGCACGTCCGCCGCCCCATTCGAGCCCAGCGCACCACCATGTCCCAAGACACCAGACCGCCTACTGGCCTTCCTAACATGCACGTAGACGCACCAATGAGCCATCTCTCGTTCCCCAAATCCAATCCGAGCCAATTTGCTAATACCTTGCTAATCCTCAACCCACCAGTTACGTACAACCACCCTTCACCACCCACGCACCTCAGGGCCACATCAGCTGCCGACACTCTTGCCGTACGAGTTACGGCAATGACCAGCAACCCCCGCCGTCGCAGGTCCGTCAACACCTGAGAGTGCACGACAACCGTACATTTAGACAAAGAAGAGGGAGAGAGACGGCGCGTGTTTATATGCTTTAAACGGGTGATGTTGCTAGCCTCCTGAATGCAAGACGGGTGGTTAGCCCACTACAACCCCGCTCTCATCAGGGGAGGTACGACAGCAATGATCCTCTGTCCTCGAAGGCCGTGACCGCAACCTTCTTGCCCGACTCCCGCCTTCAAATTCTCACCACCCCGCATTCGATTGCTGGATGGTAAAGAAGCATGGATCCGGTATCGGCAGTGACCGTTAACTATCACTTCTGTTTTCAATTAGTACGAGCTGGTTCCTCTTTGACCCCGCACCTCACCCTCACCTCCACACACCCCCACCTGGTCTAGATCCTCCGCATCGCTCACCACCACCACACAGGCAGGCGGAGGCGCCTGCCCGCCGCCCCGGCCCTGGGCCCCGCTGCGCCCCCTGCCACCGCCGCGGCCCTGTCCCGCCTCCCTCCGTACTTCCGCGGCGGCAGCAGCAGCAGACGCCGCCTGGCAAGCAGCAGGAGCCGCGGCGCAGAAAGGAAGCAGGCAGGAACAAGGCAGGGGAATAAGCTAAGCAACAAGATGGGGCAAGGCACGAGCGATCCTGGCGTGGTTTGGAGCGAGCCGCTGCAGCAGCAGAAGATTAGAGTGCCGGTAACAGGGATGCCCCCCCGCCCCCATCCCTCACCTCCGCCAGCTGCCCCGCCAGTCGCCGCAGCACCGCATCCACCGGCCCCCCCGACTGCCCCCCCGACTGCCCTCCCGCCCCCGCTGCCAGGTGCAGGTGCAGCCCCGGGGCCAGCACCTCGCTGCTGCTGCTGCTGGAGGTGGTGGTGGTGCTGCTGCTGCGGGGTCTGCCCTGAGCTGCCCATGTCCCCGGCGGTTGCCGTTGCCGTTCGTTGGAGTTGGTTAGCGTGGTGATCGTCAGGACAGGTGTTGTTGTTGTTGTTGTTGTTGTTGCGGGTGCTGCTGCTGCTGCTGCTAGGGCGGCGGTGGTGAGCAGCGGCTCCAGGTGGCGACCGCGCATCAGCTGCTCCCGGGCGAAAACAAACTCCTGAGGGGGCCGGCAGGGGAGGGGGTGTGTGAGGGGGGAGAAGCAGGAGCTGGGTAAGGTACGGAGGAGTCGCTTGCCGCTCTGCTGCAGCTACCCGGCCCCGTACCGTCAACGTCGCAACCCACCCGACCCCCAAAGCTGCTCAACAAGGTACCCACCAGGGACCTCAAAGCCCACCACGGAGCCCCGCATGCAGCCTCACCCACACCACTCCCTAGCCTGCCCGCCACCTGCTGTGCGCCTAAACACATGCCCACACGCTACATGCCGCAGCGGCTTCACTCATGCCCTCTTCCCCGCCCCCGCCCCCATCCCACCTGGGGGCTAACCCGCACACGCGGCTCCTGATCGGGTCCAACCTCCCCCTCCTCAGAGTCCTCCTGCAAGACCCCCCTAACAGCACCACCCCCTGTCACCGTCGCCCCTGCGGCCCCACGACCCTCCAGAGCTCTGCCCGGTCCCTCCGCTTCCCTCCCCCTCCTCCCTGCCCCCTGCTCGTCCCCCAGCGGTGCACATGGCAACGGCAGGCTAACCGGCCGCCCGCGGGTCCACATGATAAAGACCCGCGGGTCACTCGCGGTGGCTGCCAGCAGCGGGGCCTGATGTACGGCAGTGAAGTGCCGTAGCAGCGCCCGGCGGCTGGAGTAGGCAGAGCGACACATGGGGCAATCGTGAACGAGGTCGGATTCGGACTTCAGCTGGGACTGTCGCTGCTGCTGCGGCTGCGGCTGCCGTTGTTGTGACATCCCCTCCCTCTCATGCTCCTTCTCATGCTCCTCCTCCTCCGCCGCCTCCTCATGTGGTCCCACTACCCATGTCCGCAGCTGCGCTACCTGCCGCCGCAGCGCAGGCGACTTGCGCAGGCTGGCCTCCCGCGCCAGCAGGTGTACGGCATGAAGGCTGCCGTACTGTTGCAGCGTGAGGCAGAGGCGGTCCAGAGCGCCGATGAGGTCGGCACCCGCGAGCCCTGCTGCTGCCAGACGGGATGGTCCCCGTGCACGTGAGGCGGAGGAAGAAGCGGGCTGCTGCTCCTGCTGCTGAGGGTGCGATTGCTGTTGTTGCCTGTCTGCACTGTTTCCGGGTGCTGGGAAGCTAAGAGGGTTCAGCAGGGGCGGTTGCTGCTGCTGCGTGAAGGGCCTCACGGACTCCAGGTCCCATAGCAGGGTGAGGCGGGGTTTACCGGGGCGGGTTCGGGGCAGCGGGGGGAGGTCCTTGCTGGCGGTGGAGGAGGGCGAGGAGGAGGAGGCTGCGGCGGCACTGCTATCGATGCCTGCGACAGCACCCACGGGGACCATGTTTTGCCAACTGGCTTCTACACTCTGCGCACATGAGGATGGAGCCTGCGGGCAGGTTAGGCTGTCCTAAGAGCTTTGCGCACGAGCGCAACTTGCTGGCTGTGGGTAACTGCTCTTGCTTGCGTGGTGCTACTCTCCTCATCCCCATGCCAAACATCTGCAAGGCCATACCAGGGGCGCAGGCTGCGGAAGGCGTACGGTGCCAAGCCCAGTTGCCCGCTTATATACGCGCGCCTCCGTCGCACGGGGCACCAGTTCACCTCATCGTCTCACCATGACCGCATGCCTCGGGACCGCGCCGAAGCTCTTCTAGGTACCAGGCGCGCAGTTGTGCCCGGGCACGCGGCTCAAGCTGAATGCCTGCCAAGTCGTACTCCGCAATGAAGCCTTCCGCGGAGCTTTCTGGCCTATGAGCCGCGGGACGGAATGAGGCTCGACAATTGTATTGGTTATAAGTACAAACATGTAATCGCACAGCGCTGGGCGCAACTTGGCAGTGTCGTGTGTCGCCAATCCTCTTACTTGCAGGCTTTGCATAGTCCATAAGCATCGGCTCAACTACCCAAAAAGGAATGACCGACAGTAGCATTACAGGGAAAAATTAAGCGTGATAACACTGTGCAAGGACATTGCTTCTCCCTTGCCGTAGCCAGAGCGTGACGGTTGGCGAATGAGCTTGTGACATTCCCAGCACACCCTTGTTTATAAACAGCGAACATATACATATGCTTCTGTGAAAATTCCCTGGGTGGAAAAGTTGTTTGGTGTGGCCGAGCTACGTGACATGGCAGCATGTATGTTGTTGCGGCGTTGACTTGCTGCTTTACCGCGTGCGTGGCCCCGCAACTTGTACGCATGCTTATAGCGCTATAACAGGCGGACAAGGCTTAAACCGAGAGTCTGGCCTATTCAATGGCTGCTGACCTTGACCTGCTTTCTAGGCTACAAAACTGCGCATCTGTTGCAGCCCTATGCTGCGCGGCTGTTGGATACGTGTGCGACATGTGACGGGCACAGAAGAGACGCAAGGGACGTTGCCATCCCCTTCCAAGCTTGCGCAGGGTAAGGAGGGTCGGAACCAACTTACAAAAGCCAAACACACATGGGAAGATTGTTCAATGCTGTTTGCAATCTGTTCATTGCGAAACCACGACCAACCTATACGCCTCCCCATGACAACTCCATGATCATGTCAAACCCCCATGGACCGCAAAGGAACCAAGCTGTGACCCTCGGGTCACGCATGAAACAAACCACCTCGCTAGGCACGCCACCTGAATAGGCACTCGAGGAAGGCACACCTACAAGCCCTCCCTAACCTTGGCCACCCTCGTATCGGGCCTCTATTACAGCTCCCTTTCAAGTCCCCATGGCGCCACGAATGGACCTCTCCCCATTGCTTGCTCCTGTCCTACTCAACTACACACATGTTGTCCTCAGGGGATTCGAACCCTCAAACTGCCCTAGGCTTTCCTGGGCAGCTGCTGTTGGGACAATATGTCATTCACAGCACCAAGCCGGCCCCGCAGCAACACAATACCCAACACTGACATGGGCACCGGGGCTCCCATTGTCTAAACAAAGGGGTTTGTGCATGGTCGGTGCGGTGTTGGTACGGGATCGGGGTTTGTGCTGGATACATGCGGTGTTGGTGCGGAGTGGGGGTTGGTGCGGGGATTGGTGCGTGAGGGGTCTGTGCGGGGCTGGTGCGAGGTCGGTGCGGGGTTGGTGCGGGGTTTTGGGTTTGTGCGGAAGCGCAGGCAGGGAGCGGGTGGGGAGGCAGGGAGCGGGTGGGCAGGCAGAGAGCGGGTGGGGAGGCGGGGAGCGGATGGGGAGGCAGGGGAGCGGGTGGGGAGGCAGGGAGCGGGTGGGGAGGCAGGGAGCGGGGTGGGAGGCGGGGAGCGGATGGGGAGGAGGGGAGCGGGTGGGGAGGCAGGGAGCGGATGGGGAGGCGGGGAGCGGATGGGAAGGCGGGGAGCGGATGGGAAGGCGGGGAGCGGGTGGGGAGGCAGGGAGCGGGTGGGGAGGCGGGGAGCGGGTGGGGAGGCAGGGAGCGGATAGGGCTTGTGATGGATGTCATGGTGGCGGATGCAAGGGATAGGGCTTGTGATGGATGTCATGTGCATGTTTCTTTGGCGTCGTGGGCACTGAGGGGAGCGCTGCACGAAGCAGCGGCAACAACAACAGGGTGTGCGGTGCTCTTTTGAGACGTAGGTTACGAGGCAGGTTCAGACGTCGTTCCTGATCACCGGCGCCGTATCGCTGACTGTGTGTGCGCCGTATCGCTGACTGTGTGTTGAGAAATGGAAGGATGTGGAAGGGTGGCAAAGCTCTCGGGACGCGCTCGGACCTCTTGCGAGGCTAGCTCGCAATCCAAGAGCACAATACAGCAACCCGAGCATGGCAACCCCGGCACGCATGCCACCAGCAGAGGTGCAATCAACATGCTAGTGGGATGACAACGAGGGGGAATGCGAGCCTTTCGAGGAATGTATGGCCCCCAGCAGCCGTGGCTCTCCCCTTGCTGGCTAATGCACCCCCCAGCATCCGCGTTTACCGGGGGAAACATCGAACATGACTCCTCATTCTTCACTATTCATACCTTCAGCCTGCAAGCGCTCCGACTTCAAGAGGTTAGGTCCTGCCAGTCTACTCAACCGTACGGGAGGGATCTTGTATATCACACACCTGCAAATCGCATCCATGGCTGCCCTGCCTCAACCGACCAACCAACGAACCAACCTGCTCTCGAGAGTGTCAAACGCAGGCTCGCCCACCGGCTCTCCGACCAACGAACATGTCATGCACTCCTTTTCGGCACCCCATACCCGCTGTCCCGCTAATCCGCCACACATGCGAATGGACGGCTCACACCGTTGTCTAGTAATGCACAAGACCCCTCGGAAAGCAAAAAACGCCATCCCTTCGCAAAATCAGCAATTAAAGCTGAGGTAAGAGGAGCGTTGCTTCCTCCTCAAGAGTAAAGCAGCGATCATGGGCTCTCAGCCAGTCAGTCTCCTTAGTTTAGATACCAAAATTTCGCGTAAATAGCTCTTCTTCACGCAACGCTGAGGCCATAATAAAGACCCCACCCTGCACCCAACCCTTGCGACGCCCTTCGTCACGTCCCTAACAGCACCCCACAGCATCATGCGGGCTGCATCCGCCTCCACATGCCCCTCCTATGTGCTCCCAACGCATGGGGGGAACCGCGGCAACGCCGCCCTTAAAACTATACCTCCCCACTGGACATGGGAATCACCTGCGTTTGGCGCCGTGCAAGAGCAACCAACACCCAACGCCCAACCTAAAGATATGTAACATCCTGTGGCCCCGCTGCCGTGCCGCTCGGGCGCCACATGGTCATACAACGTCGTACAGCACCGCTGCATGGTCCGCTCACCTCGCTCCTCCGCCCCTCGACTCTCACATCTCCTGGAAAAACCTATCTAGCAAGGAAAAGTAGGATAAGCTGTGCTGTTAAGTTTGCGCCCCGTACTGTGTCGCTGCTGTGTCCTGGCCGTGCCGCAGTCGCCGCAGCTATACACACACGCAGCGGTGGTCCGGGCGGCGCCCTCAGCACGCGGGGAAGAAGAGGCCCACTGCCAGCCCCAGCAGCCCGCCGCAGATGACCTGCGAGGGGACAGGGAGGGGACATGGTTGCTCGGCGTCCTTCCTTCCTTCCAGCGGGACAGGGGCTGCTGGGGTGCGTCCTGGGTTCCCCCCGCCCGCCCCGCGAGGAGCTGGTGGCCTCCCTGACCCCCGCGAGGAGCTCGGCAGGGAGACGATTCCGCGGGTGAGGTGAGGTGTGTGCTCGTGCGGCATGAGCCGGCGCCTGGCGTCATGCACTCGAGCACTCGGCCCCCTCCCATACCCATACCCAGCCCCTGGCCCCACCCCACCCCCCCAACCCCCACCCCCGCCCACCCCCCACCTGTCGCGGCGTGTGCCCCAGCACCTCCTTCAGCTTCACCTCGCCCATGGGGTGGTCCTCGTCCAGCAGCTCGCCAATCACCTTGTTCAGCACCTCCGCCTGCTTGCCTGGGGGGGGGGGCGGGAGGGAGGAGAGGACAGGACAGGACAGGAGGAGAGGGGGTAAGCAGCAAGTCGGCCGGGCATAGAGAGTACAACACGCGGAGAGAGTGTAGAGGGGGATGGCGCGGAGGGCGGCTGCCGTTGTTTCGCGCCCCTGGAGCTGGCGGCGGCGGACGCAAACCACAACACCGCCCTCCTGCCAGCTCCCCGGCGGCGGTGCCGGCAGGCAGCACCCCGCGACTGCTGCTAGCGGCACTGCATCTCAGGAGAGGCTGCATCCCCCCTCTCCCACAGGGAGCCCCACCCGCCACCGCGGGCGCAGGGGGCCCACGGGGGCCCATGCCCGGGAGTGCCGGCCCGTCATGCTTGGAGGCCGCAGGGCACCTGTCAGGAGGAAGATGGGTGCGCTCCACCTACCCCGAGCACTCCACTCCCTTCCGATCCCCATCCGCACTGCACCCACCCAACCTCACCCCGCCCCGCCTGAAACTTCCCTCTTACATCCTTCCCCCTTGCCCCTCCGCCCGCTCACCCGCATGCCGGCGCACGCCCATGGCGTCGTACATGACGATCACGCTGAAGCACAGGCACGCCGCGAACAGCGCACTGCCCAGCCCCTGCTGGATGGCTATGGCGGTGGTGATGCCCTGATGCGGAGGGGGGGGGCGGGGAGGGCGGGGAGGGGGAGGAGGGCATGCGGGAGGGTGAGGCGGGCGGCAGCTTGATGTGGGGTTCGCCGCAGTCCGAACCCCAGGGTTCGGCAAGCTGGGACCCTTCCAGGGCGTAGAGGAGTAGCTGCGGTGTGGCTGCCAGCTGCGGTTGGAGGTGGTGCACAGCAACCATGCGATGCGCCAGGTAGTGCCTCTGCATGCGCACACGTTCCCGTGTTCCCCCTTGCGTGGGTGGTGCTGTGGCGCCCCTCCGCCCGCCCCTGCACGACCCCCACCCTCCGGGCCCTCACCGCGCAAAGTGAGGAGTGCGAGGAGGGCATGCCGCCCGATTCCAGCACCGCCCCCAGGTCCCACACGCCCTTCTTGAAGCGTTTCGTGAAGATCTAGGCAGCAGGCAGGGACCGGGGGTTGGGGGTGTTGTGGCAGTACTTCGAAAACAGGGGTGTCAGGCGGTGGCAAGGTGTGGTTGTGTGGAAGTTGGCGCAGGGGTAAGAACGGCAAGCTTGCTGGGCTGTACTCATGAGGCGGCTTATGGTAGGGGACTCTGTAGGTATTGGGAGCACGTACCTTGAGGAATTGTGCCGTGAACCAGGACCAGAACCCGACCAAGAACACGCGGTTCGTAAGTAAGTCGGTTATGCCGTTGCCAGGAACTGGTGGTATTGTAAGTGCAGCCATAAGGGCGAGTCCTTGTTGGGGCTCTGGACTGCCGCTGCAATTGATGGCGTTACGGCAGGCGTTACACCTCATGAACGCTGAATAACGGAACCCTCAGGTATGCAGGCAGGAACGTTTACCTTTTCAGCTGACGTCGCAATGTGCGATTGGCCTTAAGTGCATTCACTACCATGACCCGCCGCGCTCCATCAAGCAGCGCCGCGAAAGGCGGTGACGCAGCAGTGCCAGATGTAGATGCCCCAGAGCTAGAAGTTATCGATGCATTACACAAATGCCTTATTTGTAACTCACGCCGGCAAGTGGCGGTCGGCCCGACCCTCCAGGTCCTCGCCACGCTCCCACCCGCAGGATTTAGCTGTATGCTGCTTTGTCTCATGTTTTTAACCTTTGCGATTTACGCTTGTACAGAAAATACACTTATACAACTAACGGTAACACTAAGCTATTGCGCATTAGCTTAACCGTTGTTGGGTTAGCGTATTGCGCATTTGGACCCCATGGGTGTAACGTAGTGTTGCCTCGAGCAAACTCCGTCAGATCGCTGTACGGCTGTACAACGTTCAGTCGCTGAACCATCGTCGATTTCGCTAATCTCTATGGCAGCAAACAGGGCCTACCACTGAGAGTTTATGTTGTTATTCACTGCCCGCTTTCTGTTTCTCGCGTTTCCTTACCTTCCTTCCACAGTCTATCGTCCAAAAGCCTAGTGCGCAATTCTTACTGGCAATTCTAGATACCGAGACAGCTGAGAGGTGGAAGGATCTGGCAGGGGAAAGGCCCTCTGCCTGTTGGCAACAATGGCGCAACCAGCTGACGCCGCTTTATTAGCGGCCTATACCATTATGATTGCAGCGGTTTCCAAAGCGACGGCGACGAACACTACGGAAGCTAACAACTTGACACCAGCATTTATAAACAACATCCCTTGGCCAACGGGACATTCTTGGGACAAGGCTTTCTTCGTCATCATCGCTATATTGGAAACCAGCCGCCTTTTGATGCCAATTGCAGCAATATGCTGCTCGATCGCGGTCACCGGCCTTGTACTTGTCCTTACTACTGTGGCCGAATGGAGGAATAGTCGCGTATTTGGGCTATTGTATGTCCCCATCTGCATCTTTGCTATACCGATTGCCTATGTGGTCCTACTCGCTCTCAAACGACGTGAACATCGCAAGGTCCTTCTACGTTTACTAGGTGTAGACAGCGATTACGTCGGCCTCTTTACCCACGGCTTCAAGCTGCCGGGACTTTTGAGTCGTGCCGACAGCCCCTTCCAATTGTAAGCTTGCGCACAAGCTAGGCAATGGGTTGCAGCTGTAGCGCGCTAACGTCGCGCCAGTACGAGCCTAGGAAGGGGGGAGGGAACGCTGTCTTGTGGAAGCATCGGCATCGCCTCAATCCCCGCCCCGAACTCTTACCTCGCGTGGGACGCTTGAGGAAGGCTGGTGCTTGTCACTGCCTTCGCAACTGTCACGTCATACGAGTGTTGTCCGTGGTCATGCGCCAACACCCTTTCACACCTGCACCCTTACCTCCTTGCCGCTAGCTGAACTGTCCACATAGAAATTCCCATCCGCCCATGTATCCAGCCCGGATGCCCAACTGGAACCTAACCCTCCCGTTGCCCCCGCCCCCTCCCTTCCCTCCCCCCTACTCGGCCCTTCCCCCAACAGCGCGGATCATGGCAACGGCGCCAGCCGCCCTTCCAAGTTCCAAATCCTGTTCGCCCTCATGTCCTGGCAGGAGATGCTGGGCTGCGTCGGCGTGGTTGCCTGGGCTGTCATCGCCTTCACGCCGGAGACCTACGTGCCCGGCAGCAGCTGGCCCTTCGTCGCCGTTGTGCATTGGCTGATGATGCAGGCTGCCTTTGCGTGGCGCACCAGGGGAGCTACGGCGCTATCCATGGGGATAGCCGTAGTCGCGGTTTTCTGTGCTTTCTTCTACTTCATTGGCTGGTGGCAGCGGCGGAGGGATCTGTGTGCCGTGGCGAAATTGCGAGGGGACAGTCAGCATGCGGTCCTGGATGTGGTTGCTGTGATGCAGCACCTGGCACCGGAGGGGTCGGACTCGGCTCAGACGGCGACGGAGAAGATGGAGCGCGTCAGGTGGGTCGTGTGGATGCTTGCTGCTGTGTGGCTCTTGTTGTGGTTGTGGTTGTTTCCAGGGAAATGGCGATGTTGGCAGTTGCGTTGAGCCAAGCGGAGTGCAGGAGCATTGAGGTGGCATGTTGTGGGACATGTAGCCGACCCAGCGGCTGAGCTGAAGGCTGTCCACCGGGGACCGCATCGCAGCGCCTGTCGTGACCACGTGCCCCCACGTATCGCATTATTCCCTCTCCCCACCTTACCACACGGTTAGTTTGTCGTTTCCTTTTCGCCTCACCTCCCCGCCCCGTGCCCTCCACAGCCGCATCTGGGTCGGCGCCCTGCAGCCCCCAACCATCTGGGAGCGACTCAGGTTTCCCAAGCCCAGCTCGGCTGACTGCCTGTACGCGGCCAGCTTCATGTACGGCGCCTTCGTGTCCGGCATCTTCGAGTTCCTCGTGGAGGGCGGCACCCCCCTCTACCAGTTCTTTCAGAAGCAGCAGGCTCTGGGCGCGGAGTGGGCCAGGCGGGCGTTCTGCCTCCACCCCCTTGCCTGGCTCCAGGTCGCGCTGCTCCTCTTCCTGGTGTGGCTTGTGGTCTCCCTGGTCACGTGGCGGGCTCAGAGCGCTTGGATGAGCAAGTGTAACGCCGTCTGCTGGACCCTGAGCTTACAGTACGGACGTCGCGCGGACGCCAGGCTCGCACGCGAGGCCTCGGCTATAATGATGCGTGACTACGGGAACTATCCGGACCTTCGGAGCCGCTTCTTTACCTGCGTCGGCGTGTTGTGGCGGCTGGTGATTGGCGCGTCATGTGGTGCGGTGCTCCTGCGCATGATCACGCACACCACCTACCTGCCCGGCTATGCCTTCCCGGCCTACGACGGTGGGCCCTATACACGCTTCTACTGCTCCGGCCCATGTCCCGTGGGTCAGCGCACCTCCGATCCTGCCATGGAGGCCTTCCTGCGCGGCTGCAGTGTCACCAACTGTGCCGGCACCGGCAGCGGAGTGGCGGGCTGGTGGCTGGGCGTGCAGGCGGCGGCGCGTGTGAACATTCTGGCTGCTCGAGCCTGGCGGCTGGGGGGCCTGGATGCCGTACAGGTCGCCATGGAGGCCCTGCGTGCCGCCGTCAGCCCGCGGGCGCTGGCGGATACAGAGCTGGAGCAGCGCGCCATTCGCACCCTGCGGCGGCTGCAGGAGACGGGGCTGGCGGATGTGCGGTGGCGCATAGGCGGGGAGTGGGCGATGCAGGAGGTGTGGGAGAGCCGGGAGTCGCGAGTGGTGGGGTCGGGCAAGTGGGAGGGGGGCCAGGAGGAGCGTGATGTGGCTGATGGGGTGGGTGCTGGAGGGTCGGGTGGGAGTGTTAGGAGGGGCGGTGAGGGGGCTGGTAAGAAGGTGTACAGGGGCGGAGATGAGGCCCAGAAGCGCAGCGGAAAAGCAGTTGGCGAGGCTATGTCGGGCGAGAGTGTTGTGAAAGAGAGCGATAGCGGCGGCTGCGAGGTCGGGCATGATTCGTATTGGCGTGGGAGCTTGTTCGGTGGTGTGGGCAAGGGCTCCGGCGATGCGTGCGATGTTGGGCGTGAAGGCTTCGCTGACTCAACAAACATTCCTAACGCTGCTGGCAGCAGCGCTGGCAGCAAGGCGGCTGCAGGTTCCTCTTCGCAGACCGCCAAGTCCTCTACCTCCTCTCGTAGTGCTGCTAGCAGCGGCAACGGCGCTGGCAGCAGCAGCAGCGCGTCGAGTAAGGCGTCCGGCAATGTGAAAGCGGGCGGCGGCAAGCAGAAGGTCAAGCGCAAGAGGAGTTGGACTGAGGTATGAGTGAGGGCCAGCGGCGAGGGTTGGTAAGGGTTCGGTCCTGCGGTTCGGAGCACCTGCCGTGCCACCTGGACTTGTTCCAAGGGGGCTGCGATGCAGAGGAACGTGGCGCGTTTCCTGACAGCGGTATGGGTCAATGCAGCAGTTGGCCACGCAACGTATCTTACACAAGTCCTCATCCCTTCGATTGCGCTACGCACCTCAGCTCTCGAACCTGCCATCAACTCCCCTTCAATTTCCTGTATTGTCCCTCGACCCTCCTCCCTCCGCGCTCTCCCATGGTGGCGCCTGCCTCCCTTCTCCCCCTCGCAGGGAATGTCCCAGGAGGAGATCTTCGAGGTCTACCTCCCCATCTTGCGGGCCGCCGTTGTCATGGGGCTGATAATGCTGGTCTCTTACGTCGGCCCAAAGGAGTCCCTGTCGGCGGTGGGTTGCGGCATCGTGTGGCTCTTCACGCCAAGCAAACCAACACCCGCCGCCAGCAGACGTGCTGCCGAGCCCTATGCCCCCGCGTCAACCTCTTCCTCTAAGGCTTCGAAGCGGGCAGCGCGCCAACAAGAGGGACCGCAGCAACATAGGCAACAACAGCAAGGGCAGCAGCAGCCGTCCACAGGAGCAGACAACGTCGCGCAGGCTCAGCGTCCACCGATGTTCTTAACCAGGGCCATTTCGCCTGTGTTGAGTGCTTGCAGCGCGGTGCTCCGTGCATGCCTCTGGATGCTGCCTTCCAGATCTTCCAAGGATGATGCTACTGATGCGCCGACTTCCGACAAGCCAAGCAAGCAAACCAAGCAGCAACAGTCAACCACGCCAGCAGCCGTTGCCAGCATTTCCGAGAACCCTTCTGCCGCCACCGATGCAACAGCAGCTACTACCAATGCGCCCGCTTCAGCTTCTGCTGCCTCCAGCTCAGCCGGCAAGGCCTCTACCTCGAAGGGCCCATCTGCGCAGCGTCAGGGTCAGAAGCAGCGGCCTGCCAAGGATGCTGCCCCCAAGCGCGCGCCTGCCTCCCAACCCGCCAAGCAGCAGCCCGCCAAAGCCGCTCCTGCCACTCGTCGCGGCGGCAACACCGTCTTCGTGCGCCCTGATTCCGTACTTTCTCCAGCTGCCACCACTGCAGCAGCGCCTTCATCGCAGGCCGCCCTTGATGCCAACAGTCCTCGGTCGGCCGCTGCCGCCGCAGTTGCCGCTGCGCTGCCCTTCACCGCTGCACTCGCGCGCAGCACTTCTGCTGACCTGAGGCAGCAGCAGCAGGCGGCGGCCGCCGTATCTCCTCCGCCTGCTGGCCCAACCTCAAACAGTGACATCGCGGCCAGCAGCGCACCCGCCACCGCCAGTTCCATGCTGCGTTGGGCCTTCCCCGCACCCCCACGTGCTGCCTCGCCTAACCCACCAGCCGCAGACCCAACCGACAACGCCACCGCTACTGCTGCTGCGGCGCCATCTGGTGTAGCAGCAGCCCGCTCCTCTGCGCCCCGGAGCTCCACCACCCCGCAAGTCCCGGCTAAGCGCTCTGTTCCCATCCCCATTCCCGTGCCAGTCACGGACAACGACCCCACTACTCCGCCGCTAGTGCCGCCATCCACCGGTGGTGTGGGACATTCTTCCGCGCCGCGCCTTCCCCTGCTGGGCCTCAACCCTGCGCTCGCGCATTTCCTGAAGCAGACCGGTGCTGTCGGCGCTGCTGCTCCCGCCGCCCAACCTCCTCCTCAAGCTGCTGCTACTGCGGCTGTCCCTCCTGCAACAGCACAGCCCGGCAGCGCCACAGCCCATGCATCCGCTGCCGCCACTGCCAATGCTGCACCCGCTCCTCCTCCTCCCACCACCGCTGCCTCCAGCACTGCATCCGCTGCTTCTGGCGCTCCCAAGGTTGTTCCCGGCGGCCTGTGGGGCGACGTGGCGGGCCGGGATCCGACCAAGTGCGTGGCGTGCCGCGAGCAGCCGCGCCAGGTGGGCTTCCTGCACGGCATCAACGTGCACCTCTGCGTGTGCCGTACCTGCGCCGCGGGCTTCCAGGCGGGCGACGCCTGCCCGCTGTGCGGCGAGGTGTCGCAGCGCGTGCTCAACATCTTCTGAGCGGCGGCGGTAGCTGGGTTGGGCGGCAGCGGGAGCGGTAGTCGTGGTGGAGGGATGGGGATGAGTGGGGGTCACCACAGTAGCGACGGGGTCGTTGATGCTGAAGGTATGGGACACGGTCTGGCTGGGGTAAACAGCTGTAGGGGGTTGTTACGGGGGGAGTGGTGTAAGGCACCATCACGTGTTGCTTGTGCAAGGTCTTAGGGCATGTTCGTGCCAGTGTGTTAACCGAGCATGCCGGAGCTAAATCGTTGACATGGAAGGCATGTGGAACTGACCACGACTTTTGTGCTTGTGTTGACGAGCGGGGGCCAACAGGGTAAACATTATCTGTTGCAAGGCCTGCGTCGGTATATGCTGTATGTTGGCAATAATTCGGGGCCAATTACCGTTGGGCATACATTGTTTTTGTGCGTTGTCGGGTGTGCTATCACGATACTGCTTGTCTACCGGCATTGGGCATGTAGGTTGACCACAGTGTAACTATTTAGTATGCTTGGATGAAAGAAACACTCTACATGAAGCCCCTGAGCAGCGCCACCCCTGCTCCCATCAGCCGCCACAGCCGTCGGGGAAGCAATCCTAACCACGTCAAGACGGCTCCAGGGGGCTCCCGCTGCTGCTCACGTGCCTGCTTGCACGGGTTATCTGAAGCTGGCTTAATGGAACGAGGTGGTTGAGCACTGCCCACCGAGACAAGAGACGGTGCAGCACGCCTCGAAGAAGGCAAGCACGGGCCTGAAGGTGATAGACACCGCAAAGACAGGAGAAAGGTGTCATGTCACCACCCCGAGCAGCCCTCCGCTGAGCACAGACAGTGCACACCAAGCTATATCCCCAAACCAATTGACACCCCGTGCTCCTGACACCCAGCTGCCGGATCTGCCGGCTGGCCCCTGCTGGCTGTACCGCCACGCATGACAACTGCCGCCACACGCCAACGAACCCATCCCGGCTAACAACCATGGGGTGAGGAGGGGGTACGGCCCCTCGGGTGTTGACGAATGCAGTCGCGCGGGCCAGCGCGGGCCAGAGAAGACCTAGACCACAAGCAAGGGCAAGACAATAGGGAGAGGAGGTGCCACAAAACAAGGGCTAACAGCCCTTACCAAAACCGCGCTGGTGTGTCACGAGGCGTGTCACAAGAAACGGCGTGTCATGAGGCGTGTCACGAAACGAGTGCAAGCAACTGGTGGAATGAGGAGGGGCAGCCCGCGGTTAACCCAGCAGCAACCCCACGTAAACGCAGAAACCCGTAACCCGGCACAGTAGCTTGGCTTCGGAGCCACTACGCATGAAACCCCACCAATCCACGCCGGCCTTCCCAAATCTTGTTAACCCACATTCCTTATCGCAGTCCGCGCACCAGTCCCCAGCACCCGGATCCGGTGTCATCACAGCTGCTTTTCTCTTCACCAATCTCGAGCCGCTCCGTCCATCGCCACCAGCAACGGCGTTGGGGTGTGCGGGGGTCATGTGAGGCGAAGACAGCCCAGGACGAGCCGATTTCACCAGCTCACGAGGAGGGGCACTTCCCTGCACCCACTGTTGTCCCTCCTGCTTCCCAGACCCGACGCAACGCACAACCAGGCCAGCAACCCAAACTGCTTTGCCCTGCTGCACCCTGCGGTGCCCGTTCACCACCCCCTGCCCCCCCTCGCACCCTGCACAGCGTGTCGTGTTTGAGCGAGGCAGGGGTGGATGCGCTGGCAGCCGCCCCCCCAGCCACCCCTCTGAGTGGAGCTGCCGGCTGCGTGCTGCTGCCGGTGTCATTACCGAAATGGACGCATGCCAACAACCACTGCCCGGCCGCCCCCACAACCGCCCCTACCGCCTGCCGCACCTCCTCCCCCTACGGCTGCTGCTCCTCTCGCTCCTTGTCCTCCTCCTCGCATTTATCTGTCCACTGCCTGCCCGCCCACGATGACGAGGAAGAGAGTGAACGTTTTACCCTGAACCCAGCTCTCTCATGCCGTCCGCACATCCATGGGCACGTCCCCCCTACCTCCCGTTCCCACTAGCTCTCCCCGGGCTGTGAACCCGCCTGATGGCGTGATGCTGGCCATCGAGAGAGCAGCAATTCCGGAATCATGCAACCAAGAATCCCAGCCCCTCTTGCCAGGCGAAGGGTTGCCCTTACTCCCCTAGCTAGGACCGCCCTCTCCTCACCGAGTGCCATGCGCTCGCATGGCCATCTGCCACCAGATAGCAGATGTCCGCGAAGAAGACTTCCCTGACCTGCGCAGACAGTGATCCATGGCGTGCTGCGAGGGCCACGAACTTACAGATGACCTAGCTGTAGCTCTCGTTGCATGGTCTGATGATTCCCCGCTGACGACACCGAGGCAGCTCAAATGAGAGATTGTTTCACTACGTGTGGCTAAAGAACCACTAAAGCGGAAAGAGAGGAATAAGGCAGCGCAGCCTTGCATACACTGTATGTATGTATGTTACAAGCTTCGTACCGAGCTCGTAAGATCCGTCCGAGCCAGAAGGCTCATGGATCGCGAGCACATAAACACGTAACAAACAAAAGAAGAAAAGTAAACTTATGACACGAAACGTAGTGAAGCATACACGAGTGAAGCACTTTGTCCGGCAGTCCGGCAAACTTTGACAACAGACGCTACCTTCCAGAGCAAGCAGGTTTGAACAGCTGTGCAAGCTGTCACCTCTACGCAAAGTTCGGGTCGAGAAGGCCGACTACGCCATCTCTAATGGCATGTACCGGTAACCAAGTCCAGTAGTATTATTATAGCGGAATGCACTTCCGATAAGTTGAACGCGTGATGCCAAGGAGTACGGAAGTGAAAATAAGCTCGCCGTACATGCCCACCCCATGAAAATAAGCCTGTGGGTGAGAGTGAGAACAGATTGGGGCAAATTAGGAATAAGCCTGACTTTCCTCAGCCTCTGCGGTTGGAATTCATCTTGGATTTCGGTTAAGGCGCTTCACTAGAACCATTGTGTCTCTTCCCCCACGGACCGCCATAATTAACCCTCAATAGGACTTCAGGTGGAGTCTCCCTTGAACCCAATCCGCACTAAGGATGTCGAGTAAGTGCCTGGGCAAGGCATCCACGTTGGCTGGGCCCATGGGTCCCTTAACGTCATATATTCTTCGGCTGTTGCGTATTATTTCGAGAAGGTACCTTGTTGACTTCCTGCGGCCCCACCGTTGGCGCTCGGTTGGCGGTTAATCCCCTACCCGGCATCGCTGTCCAAATGATGGGCTACTTGGTATGTCCCTCCGGGATTTCGACCACCCTTGAAGACGGCAGCTTTGGAGAAGTGGGGTCTGGCGTCATCAAGGCAGCAGCTGCATCAACCGGCAACGAGGTCATCCCGGACCCTGTCGGCTTCGAGGAGCACGTGTCGCCTTATTTGACGCCCGATGTATTGGCCCGCTCCCTCGGCTTTCTCCCGGCCAACGAGATTGCGCTCACCGGACGCCTCGTTAGCAAGGCTACAGCTGGGCATCTCAAGCAGTACAACACTGTGCGGCTGTCGCAGCCTTCTCCTCCGCACGCTTTCGCGCAGCACTGGAGCCGCCCGGGTGCCATGCGCGGGCTGAAACTCAGGCGACGTAGGGAACTCCTGTGTCTAACAGCCGCCACAGGCAGCCTGGCCAACCTTCAGTGTGCAGTAGCCCACGCGGGCTGCATCCCAAATGATGACGTCCTTGAGGCTGCCGCCGCAGCTGCTCACCTGGAGGTGTGCGAGTGGCTGCTGGCACACGGCTGCTATATGGGGGATGCCTTGGTCGAGACTGCATGGAAGGGGATGAGGGCGGTCTGCGAGTGGCTGCTGGCACACGGCGCCCCCTGGATAAATGAAGCCGTGTACGCTGCGTTCCGCGCTGGGCACATCGATCTGGCGGAGTGGCTGCTCCAGCAGCATCCGGAATCCACAGACAGCTCGGAGCTACTGGGGGCAGTCGCACGTGGTTGCGACCTGGCGACGCTGCAGCGGCGGTACGAGGAGTGGGAGGGTGAGCAGCAGAGCGAGGAGGAGAAGACCGACATCCTGGTATCCGCTGCCGGCAGCCCCACCCCCGACTGGCAGGCCAAGGTGCAGTGGCTGGAGGAACAGGGCTGGCCCAAGAGCGCCGAGGCATCCGAGTTCGCCTCCAGTTGCTCCGACGGGCTCAGCCGCCTGGCTTGGCTAGAGCAGCGGGGCTACCCAGTGGGCCCGGAAGACTGGGCATGGGCGCGAGGTGACATCCGCAGTTGGCTTCGTGTCCACCCGCAGGAGAGACTGCTACAAGCTGCGTTGAACGGGGAGCTCGACCGCGTGATCTGGCTGGTTGAGGAGGTGGGGTTGGACATAACGGCCCCGGTGTTCAGAAACGCGGCCGCGTCGGGCAACCTGGAGCTGCTGCGGTGGCTGGAGGAGCGGGGCTGCCGCTGGGACGAGGACACCTTGAGCATGGCTGTAGAGGCGGGATGCGAGGAGGCGCTGGAGTGGCTGGTGGAGCAGGGCTGCCCCTGGGGGGTGAGTGTGCGGGGAAACGTGGGGGGGATGCTGCAGTGGCCAGGCTGATTGGTTTGACTGGTGGAATGGTCAAGTATACAAATCGCTTTTGTTCGTGTTTTTGAGCAACCCGCCAATAGTTCCCCACTACTGGGACTCTCAATCCGACATGTTGCCTGTGTTCCCCGCCTCATGCATGCAACATAGCTGACCCGTTATATGCCTCCCTCCCTCCCTCCTGATATCTGCAGGACGATGGCCGGGACTACGTACGCGCGGCCAGATGTGGCGACCTGTCCACGCTGCACTGCCTGGGGCGGCTGGGCTGCCCCTGGGGGTCGGCCGAGACCTTCAGCAAGTCCGCCACCGCCAGCTACAACCCCGAGGTGGTGATGCCTGTGCTTCTGGAGCTGGGCTGCCCGGTGGACTGGGAGGAGGCGGCGCGTAGGTTCGAGCACGTATTTTGTGGCGAGAAGAGGAAGGAGGCGTTCCTTGCGCTGCTGGAGGAGCTGCAGGCCAAGTATCCGCAGACGCAGCAGCAGCAGTGACAGCAGCAGCAGCGGTTAACAAGAGCCCTAGCCCTGGCCTGCATGCTTCACCTGCGGTGCACAGTGCCAGCTGGGAGGTGTCTTGAAGTGGGGGGTTGAAGTGCTTGGCGGCTGGGTGTTAAGAGGGGCATCACGCCGGTAGTGGGGAGTCGTGGTTCGGGTTAGGGGTATGGGAGCACGGGCGGGTGCTGGAGGATGCGCCAGTTATCTCACAGGGCCGCAATGCGGTGTGCAATACCTTCACCGCATGAGGTGTCGCCGCATGAAGATGGGCTATAGTTGACATGTTACCAGAACGTTCGCAACGCCTACGGAGTACGGAGTACTCGGGGCCTGGATTGCAGTGCTTGCGTGTACAGGTAGGCATCGGCACTGGTGGGGCCTTCTGTGCTTATGTTGGTTCTGATGTGTGCTTTTGTGCATGGCGGGCCGCCGCGTTGGCACGACGCAACGCTGTGGTAGTT